AAGAAGTTACAGAGAAACGTCAACAAGTAAAAATTATTCAACAACAACAAACAATTAAAAGACAACAAAAACAACAAAATTTACAATTTCGCCAGTTGGACACTGGAATGATTGTTGGTTCTGAAAGTGTAATAAATGCTGATAATTCTTCAGAAATGTTTCAACAAAATCCGAATATTCAAAGAAAAGCTGTTGAATTAGCCGAAGCTGTAAAATAATTTAAATTTTCAAATATAATTCAAAACATAATTAATCTTTCAGGACACAACTTTTTCTCCACCTTCTCAACCAGATGATTCTTTAAGTAGACAAATTTCACATCAATCTCATCAGGGTGTTGGCACTCAACAATACCAACAAAAAATGTAATTAATGTTTAATATTCCTTTCAAATACCTTTCTCTCCCTCCTTTCTAAATGGCCTTGGCTACCCAAAATTTATATCTAACGGCTAACCTAAAATTAGTTAAATCTTAAGCCAATTATCCAATTTTTGGATAAATTCTTCAAAATTCTAATTTTTATCTAAAAAAGGATTCCACTTAATCATCATCATCAAATACAACAATCGCCAACTACTTATCATCCTCAACCTTTACTAAGCGCTTCACATTCTGCCGGACAACAACAAATTTTTCGTTTTGACGTTGCAAGTGTTAATAGAGCACCTAAAGAATTAAATTCTGTTGAACATGAAAAATTTCAACAAATTGAGTGGAATTATCAAGGCGGAATAAATGTTATACCTTCACAAAATAAATACCTCCCACCACAACCACTACCACCAACACAACAACAACAAACAATTCAACAATCTCCTTCATTTTCAACAAATATTTCTCAAGAAAATAATTTAATAATAAATAAATTGCCAACAACACAAAAATTAACAAAAGGAGAATCTCTTCCAAAAAATAAAACAACAAAAACAACACAACAGTCAACTGGAACTTTTGTATGTCCAGCATGTACAAAGGCTTATTCTACCGATTATTCACTTAAACGACACAGAAATGTTTGTCCAGTATTAAATGTTGGAAAAGAATTGGGAAAAGGAAGGGGAAATTCAACACGTAAAAGGTTGTTAATTAATTAAATCTTTATTTTTTCAATTTAATTTTTAGAAAAAATACTAATTCAAATAATATACCAACTAGTTCAACTAATAATATGGAAACAGTTAAATCTTTGGAAAAAGTTGTTGGTGAAACAAGAATGGATGAACCTCATCAGATTGATCCGGACAGTACAATGTAAGGGTAATTTGAAAAAAATTGATTAGTAGGAAATAGGGTTGTGTGTTCGGTTCCGGATATCCGAAGATTTTCCAAGAACGACAACCTTAGTAGGAGACTTTAAAAAAATAAATTTTGGTTAGACAATTGTAAAATATTAAATTTCCTTTTTTAAGGAATGAAAGTCCTCCAGACAATGCTGGTGGCAGTAATTCATCGATGAATAGACGTACAAGTGTTAGCGGTGCTAGTACACTTTCTGCGCCACCAAATAACGGTGGAAACGCTGAGGAACAAAATAAACATGTTCAAATGCAAATGGCTACTGTGATTCAACTTTAAAATTTAAAAAATAATATCAATGATTAAAAGAGTAGGAAACAAATTTTTATTTAATTTTGGGTTACCTTTTTTAAATTTTTTTAAAATTCTCTTTAAGAAACCTATTTTATGCCAAAGAACTCTCAAATAAATTTTAGAAAAAGTTAATACATTCTGATTCCTAAGATAGCAAAAAGGAACCTACATAATAACAAGACCTGACTTATTTTAATTAATTAATGGAAACCCCTATTTAAATATAAATAATGATTTTTAATATTCATTGATAATTATTAGTTAGTGATTTTTCTATTAAAATATATTATTTTATCTATATTTTTTTATTATTTTTTAAACACTCCTCCTCCCTCACTAAACGAACATAATCTTAAAACTATTTTCATAAAAAATACTCGTTTTTATATTTTGTTATTTAAATCAACGATTAATTAAACACTTACTATATTAAATATTTAAATAAATATATATACACAGCCTTTAAATTTATATATTTATTTTTTAAATAAAATATTATTTTTATAAGGCAAGAAGTACCTCTTTTTATTATATTAGCGCTATTTTTGTAAACGCTTTTTTAATTTGATAAATAATTAGTAGTTTTGCTTAAACTTTTTAAAATTAATTTTTAAAATTAATCCTGAATAGTCTCTTTTGTACAGTCACTAACTTAATACTACATAAGTCAAACATCACATAGTAAATGCCGTCTATACCCGAAATACTTAATTTTTTAACATAAAAGCTTACATATTAAAAAATTTTATTCCTTTCAATTTGAATTACAATTTTTATCACTTTCTGTACAGTAAATACTTTTTTCTAAAGATTCTGATTGTTTAAGTAATTTTCCAACAGTCTCGAAAGAATGTTCAATTTCAAATGTTTGTGTTTCCATTAATTCTACTTGTTTAGCCAATTTATCCAAATTTTGTGCTGAATTTTGGGCAATTCCGTCAACCGCTACAAAATTACGTATTGAAGTTTGTAGAACGTCAGAAAGGCCAGAAGTTTGTTGAATATTGCCTATTACTGTACCCATTTCAATTATTATATCTTGAACTCGATTTGGAAGACGAGTTTTGCCTTCGAGTGTTATAATATTTGTTGGTTTTTTATTAGCCATTTTAGCAAATCTGGAAATAAAAATATAATGAAGGTTAATATCGAAATTGTCGGGAAAAAAATAAATAAAAATAATTTTTCTGTCATAACAAAATATAAAAATAAATATAATTTTAAAATATTTATTAAAAAACAAAAAACAATTCCCTAATTTAATTTAAATTCTTTCAATAGGCTCTATACCAATTAACTTCATTCCTTCTCCCAAAACCTTTTTAGCTGCAGTAAAAAGTAACATTCTAGGTAAAGCATTAATTAAAGGTTCTCCTAAAATTCTTAAAGAAGGCAATGTTTGTCCAATTTTATTTGAAAGGCGAACCTAAAAAATAAAATTATTTTTTTTAAATATTATTCAAACCAAATGAATTGCAATTGGACTTGGTTCCATTTTTTGTAAACTATTATTTAACACAGTATCAAATTCAAGAATCATTCTTGCCAATTTTCGTCCATTTTCACCAATTTCTGGTTGCATTTTCATTAAATCAACTTCACTTAAATTTTTTAATTTTTCCAAATGTTCTAAATTAGCCTTTTCAAGAGAATTTAAACGAGAATATTTTTCCTTTAAAAAAATTTATTTTTATTAAAAAATATTCCCTTTTTAATTACCAATAAAATTAAAGAATTTGTCCCTTCTGGGAGAAAAGCTCCTTTAAAAGAAAAATTAAAATCCGAATGTTTTGCTCTACAAATAATTGAAAATGCTAATTGATTTTGAGTAAGTAATTGACACAAAAATTCTTTTTCTTCTTCAGTACTTTTTCTTGTATAAGATTTTTTAATATAAGCATCAGATTCTGAATTACCTTCAGAAATTAAATAATCAACAGAATCATTTTTTCCTTCTCTTGTAGATAAACCAATTACTTTACCTTTTTAAATATTTAAAAAATAAAATAATTTTTACAAAAAATAACCATAAGAGTGATGAATTATTTTTTCAGCCAAATCAGAATCTCCTCTCATTTTTAAAAGTGCTCTTAAATGGGCAAAATGATTTGCTTGTGATTTGTCTACAACATAAATATATTTATCTGCATTGTATTTATTTTGTCTATCATAAATTGAAGCCAATTCTCTTAAATTTTTTAATACTTGTTGGGTTTTAAACTATAATAAGTTTTGAGCCCCCCCCCCCCCTCCCCGATACATTAAACGGATTAAATAATTATTTTTACATCAAAAAAACTAACCTATTTAAATATAAATTTGCTCCATCAATTCTTCTTAAGGGAATTCTGGACAATCCAGGATCAAGATTAACAATTCCCCAACATTCATCTTCTGCAGGAAAACGTACACATTTTCCTTCCAAAATCATTTCATCTACCAATTTAGCTCCTTTCAAAACATAATTAGATTCTCCATCCCAAACATCAAAATTCACTCCAAAACGTGAATATAAATCTTTTAAATAAATACAAGAAATTTCACGCCATTCTTTTAAAAGATTTAATGCTTCAAAAGCCTGTGAAGACGAAGTATTCTTTTTTAAAAATTGAAAATATTTTTTTAAATTTAAACAAAAAAAACTTGTTCATTGCCTCCTTCATTAATTTTTATTTTTTCCATTTCAAGAAATAATTGACGAGACCTTGCACTAAATGATGCATTTAATTTAGACATTCGATGAGCAGCAGCATACGAACTAAAGAGAAATAATTTCCTTTTTTCTTTTATTTAACGAAAACCTCGTTAATAATTCAACTTTCTTTTTTTCAGTCATTTCATTCCATTCTTCAGGTTCTGGCCTTTTTATTCTTCCTTCTTTTCCATCCATAACAGCAAGCCAATAAAATGCAAGCATAGAAAATTGAGGTCCCCAATCACCCAAATAATTAATTGAAACAACCTCGTGTCCAGCCAAACGACAAATTTTTTGTATAAAATTTCCATAAAGTGTTGATCTTAAATTTCCCATATGAAAGGTTTTTGCAATGTTTGGAGAAGAAAAATCAATTACAAGCTTTTTACTTTTTGTACCAAATTTTGCTAACATTTCAGGAATTAAATTACTACTGAAAGCGACACGATGAAGACTTTGGGCTAACATCTCTCTAATTTAAAAATTTTAAGAAAAATTAAAAAAAAATTGTTTTAGAATTATTTATGTAATATGTAAACATTTTAAAAATAAAAATAATTTTTATATTTTAAAATAATCAAAAATTTACGGAGAAAAAAACTGTCCAATTAAAAACATTAAATGAAAGAACAAAAAAAGCAGCAATTACTAACCAAAAATGGCAAATTAAAAAATTGTCCAAAATGTCTAGATATCCAAAAATTGTGCAGCAGTCATTCTTCCTCTTCTATTCGTTCAAATCTTTCACGATTATATCGATTATTGTCACTCTCAGTCAATCCCCCCAATCCACAAAATGAAGCGAGACATAAAGCTATTCTTTCATTATGAATTCTTGGAAGAATTTCTCTTCGAAACCAAGGGCCAAAAAGTAAATCGTTGTAAACAAACATTCCAAGCGTTAATAAAGCAAAACCAATTAACTTTAAATTAATTCTAATTAAAAATTAAAAGATTTTTTTAAAAAACCTGTACAGGAATAAAATTTTCTCCAAAAAGTGGAATAGAAAAAGCCCAAATTACAAAAGTTCTAACGCTATCCAAAACCTTGAAAATTTAATTTTTATATTTTTAAATAAAATTTAAAACCATTCGAGTGGTAGCAGAAAGATGTTTAGTTACAGTCACTCCAGCAAAATTAAAAAATGCAATACTTTAAATAAATATTTAAATATATAATTATTTTTTGAAATTTTACCTTATAATTACAAAAAATAAAGCCAACAAAACTATTGGTTTTTCATGTATTTGTTTAAATGCATAAAAAATATCTTCAAGTCGATGTTCGGGATTTTTTGAAAAAGTAGCAGGCACGTGAATAAAGTACATTGGCAAAGAAAGGAGAGAAAGAATTATCATCCCGAAAAAACCTTAAAAATAAATTTTAAAAATATTTCGTCTGAAAAAAAATAATTTAGAAAAAAAGACTTGCAAAAACCTTCTAAACCAACTGCCAAAAGTGGAGGGACGTCATATTCAAGAACAAATTTTTGTTCCGAAACCATCTGAATTGCGACACTGTCAAAGAAAATAAATTTATTTATAAAAAATATTCAAAAAAATAAAATAAACTAACACAATTTGAGCAATTACAATCAATAAATTCCCTAAAAAATTGAATAGGAAAAATATTTAATTAAAAAAAACCAGTTATAATTGCATTTAAATCATCATTTGGATTTGTGTCAAATTCAATATCAGATAAACCAACAACTAAAAGACCTAAAGCAACCAAGCCCATTCCTAGCCATTTAAATCCTCTCAAACGTGCACGTAAAAAAGCTGTCGAAAGTAGTCCAGTAAAAATAATCACAGAGCCTTTAAAGGCAAAAAATTTATTGATTGATCTTTTAAAGAAATACAAACCTCGAAGCATCTGAAAGCTAGATGCTGTTGTCTTTAATTAAAAAAAATAAGAATATTTTGTTAAATTATTTAAAACTAAAAATTAATTCAAAACCAACCAAATTAAGCCCAACATACATCTTTAAAAAATAAATTTATTATTTTACTTAAAAAAATATATATATACAATAGATGTGCCTAACATATCACAACATGCAGGAGGAAGGAAAATAAAAGGATTAAATCTAAAAAGAAAAGTCAATTTTGAAAATACTAAAAATAGACCTCGGCAATTTAGGCTCGTCTTCCAGGTCCAAATCGAAAATAGCGCCACCCTCATGAAATTGACTTAAAAAATAAAATTCTGGTATGTATGTATAGTTTATCTCTCTCCCAAAACCTTATTAGTGGGGGGAGGGGTGGTCTGTATATCTATCGTCAAAATTGGATGGGTGTTCGAGTTTCAACGTGAAATCCATACTATTCATGGGACTATTTAAAAGTCAAATTCCCTATTAATTTTCGTTAAAAAATAAAAATAAACTTTCGCATTTTCCATTGTCGTTTTCGAATAAAATGCATAATTAAATAAACAATCAGACAACAAAATTCACCAAAAAACATACAAATTGTTTGAAAAACTGGATGATCAAAAGCTAATTGATCTACCCATTTAGCAGAAAGTGTATTTAAACTTCCTTAATGTGAAGAATAACGTGATTGATATTAAAATAAAGGAAATTACCTGTAGCAACCATAAAAATGGCAACAATTAATAAAAATATGTAATCAGAACCCTCTTCATTTCGTGCCATATTTAAACTAAAAGAAAAAGAATTATGACAAAAAATTTTGTTTGCAGGAAATTAGAAAAAACGAGGGGGCATAAATTGCGGATTCAAATTTGCGACACGTTTTTGCGGACACGAAATTTGCGGACTGACACTTGAGTAAAAAATATAATTTAAAAATTTTTTACGTAATTGATATCGGGTATTTAAAGGGAAATTGAAGGGATATCTGAAGATTTGGAAGGATTAATGGAGGGTTGGAAGTTAACAGGGATTAATGGGGATATCGACAGATATCCCTTTTTCGTTAATTCCTCCCTACTACTCGTTTTGATTTTATTTTTTTGTCATTTTTTTAATTTTTAGGATAATAAAATGGCAATTTTTCGTCATATTATTCAGAATTGTTTTCAGAATCTTCGTTATTTTGGAACACCTGAATTAACTTTTTGTAGACACAAATCTTTTTGGTGTAATAATCGTGGAAAGGAGTTTGTTTTTAATTTAATCTACTAATTAATTTTTAATTAAAGGACAACCAAATTTTTTGAGGGTTTTGAACTTGAAAAATTATTTGTTGATGAAAATGTTCAAAAATTGTTAAAATCACTTTGTGGCTTTGATTTAAATAGATTATATAGCTGGAGGCTTATAAATAGTCCAAGTCGTAGACATTATGCTTTAATGACTGATAATATGTATAAAGAGGTTTTTAACTATTAGAAATTATTTTTTAATTTATTTTTTTAGTTTCTCTCCAAAATGGCCTCTAAAGCTCAATATTTTTTACAATTTGTACCTTTAAAAGAACCAAGGCCTAATAAAGCTGAAACTTTGTCTGTGGATTCAGATATTGCTGGTCATGATCCTAGCAAAATAATTTTTGTTGATATTTCCCATGACTCTACTGAAAGGGTATTTTCTTTTAAAATCATTTTAGAAAATATTTGGTGCTTATTTGGGAAAAATTCTTTAAGGATCGGGCAATTGTGGTTCGAGAGCCGAATGGCAGACTTCGTACTGCATTACCAGAAGAGCATTTTCGGATGAATAGAATATTTTTTGATAAACCTGACAGACCTGTTAGAGAACCGCCTATTTTTCATTTGCATTCGGATGGTGAAGGACAAATTGTTTGTGGCGACATTCTTTTGGTTTTGAAATATTTTTATAAAAAAATTAATTTAAAATAATTTAAAGCAAACATTAGCTAGAGACGAACATGAATTTGTTTTGGATTGGGCTTGTAATTTTTATGAACCCGATGATCATAAATTTGTTGAGGTTAATTTTTTTCATTTTTTTGTTCTTTTGTATTTTTTAGTTGTGTAAATGTATTTTTGAAAATACAATTAAAGTACAAAAATTATCTGTTTTACATTCTACTCGACATTTTGGAACACTTGCTTTTTATATGCTAATAAATAATTATTATTTTGAATTAATTGAATTTTTTGCACAAAATCAAAAGTTTTTTTTAATTAAAAATTTTAGAAATTTAATTTATTTTTTAAAGTATTTCTGGGGTTGCAAATACAATTCGTTTATTGAGAATAATTTATCCAAATTGGACAACAACAATTCCTTCAAATTTTTCTGATTTGGATGTTTTAAAAGTTTTTTTGACCAAATAAAATAATTAAATTTTGAAATTTTTAGGAATATTTAAATCAACTAGAACAACAAATAAATGATAATAAAGAGTTAAAACAACATTCTTCCTCTTCTAATATTCAAGTAAAGGGTGATGAATTTGAAAAAACAAAAATTTTGATTTCTTCGCTTTTGAAAGGTGGAGAAAAGAAAAGAAGGCAAACAGCAATTTAGTTTGATTTTTATTTAAAATTATTTGTTTTTTTTTGTTTTAATTTAAATAAAATTTTAATTTTGGAATTTTTATATTAATTAATTTAAATGTAAAAAGATTTTATAAATATATTTTACTTTAATAAATATTTTACCAAAAAATTAACTTAAGACGGAAAAAATAAATGGGAAAGTTGCCCAAAAATTTTGCACTTCTTAAACGAAGCGAAAACCAACGAATTTCTAGACGCCGTTTACAAGAAAATTCATCATTTTCTTCTAATGTGTCTTCTGGTGAAGATGACAAGAAGGAATTGTTGGATGATATTGCTTCTGATGGGAAAGATGTTGATTGGGCGCCTTCAATTTCAGCTGTTTTTAAAGTAAATTTTTATTTAAAGATGGCAAAGGTTTGAGGTTAGTTTTTACATAATTTGGGGGTTTTTGGACTCACTGATACCCAATTTCTTTTTATTTGACTAGTTTTTTTATCAACTCTCTTAGCAAGGGCGTATCCAGGGGGTCGGTTTCGGGGGGGCTAACACTGGGTGGGCGCAAAAATTTTTGGCGTTTACCTTGGCGTTCTGGACGTAAATTTTTTTGTACATAAATTTTCATTTTTGCTGCGCCGCAGGCGAAAATTTTTTGAATTTTAGAGGGCCGTAGGCCAAAAAATCCACTTATTCAGCGCCGCAGGCAAAAATTTTGGAAAATTTCGGGGTCCTTAAGACAAATTTCTTCCTTTTCTAGCGCCGCAGGCAAAAATTTTTTGAAATTTGGAGCCCAAGAAGCCAGATTTCTTCCTTTTTTAGCGCCGCAGGCAAAAATTTTGAGGATTTTAGAGCTCAAGAAGCCAGATTTCTTCCTTTTTTGCGCCGCAGGCGAAAATTTTTTTAAATTTGAGGGTTGTAGGCGAAAAAATTTCACTTTTTCGACTATCCTTCTCCTAATTTTTTCCCCCTTTCCCCCATTTCGGGGGGGGGGGCTCTAGCCCCCCCCAGCCCCCCCCCCCTGGATACGCCCTTGTCTCTTAGGTCTTGATTTCTTCAGAATAATTCTAAACAAAAATAATTTTTTAGATTCTCTTTTCAATACGTCTTTCAGCATCACTTTGGAGTATAATTTCTGATTGTGACGAAGTATATAATTATTGGGAACCTTTACATCTTGTTTTGTTTAAACGTGGATTTCAAACCTGGGAATATTCTCCTGTTTATGGAATTCGGTTTTTTAATTTATATTTTCTACTATAAATCTCTTTTTAAAGTTCTTGGTTATATATTCTTTTATATGCTGGTCCAGCCAAATTTTTAATAAAAATTTTTCCAGAATCTAAGGTTGCACTTTTCTTTTCTCTTCGTTTTCTTATTAGGTTTCTTAAATATTTTTTAAATATTAAATAATCAATTAAAGCTTTTTTACTTTATTTTCTGAATTATTTTTATATCGAGCTATTTATCAAAGAATTTCGAATTCAATTGGAAGAACATTTATTTTATTTAGCACATTTTCTAGTGCAATGTTTGGAGCTAGTTGTGCTTTTTTACCTTCTTCATTTAGCATGGTATAAATTTTAAAAATTAAAAAAAAATTTTTTTTCTAGTCTTTAAATGCTTTTGCTTCTGCCTTTTATTTATTTGAATATTGGTAATTAATTAAAGATAAAATTAAATAAAAAAATTAATTTTTAGGTCACTTTCAATTTTTTGTACGGCTTTTAGTGCTTTAATTGGTTGGCCATTTTCTGCAATTCTTGGATTACCTATTGTTATAGAAATGTTAATAATTAGAAAAAGAAAATTGGCTTTAAAATTTTTATTTTATTCAATTATTTTTGGATTATCAATTTGTTTATTACTTTTTATTGTTGATACACATTTCTTTGGAAGGCCTGTTCTTGCACCTTTAAATATTATTTTTTATAATATATTTTCGAGTAATGGGCCAAATCTTTATGGGTTTGCTTTTTTTTTAATTTATTTAAATTTTTATTTTATTTTTTTTAAAGAAAAGAACCAATTTCTTTTTATTTAAAAAATTTGTTTTTAAATTTTAATATTGCTTTTATTTTGGCGATTTTTGCAATTCCATTTTGTTTATTATTTTTAATTATTCAAAAAATAAATGAAGAAAAATATAAAAAAGAAGACAAAACAATATTATTTAAAAATTATTTTGAAAGTAATCCTTTAAAACAATGGGAAAGATTTAGACCTTTAATTTTTCTTTCAATGTCGGCAATTGTTTGGATGTTAATTTTTATGTTACAGCCACATAAAGAGGTAATTAATTAAAATATTGATGTGATATACTTGACAAAATGTTGTCGAAACATCATTCTAAAATAATTTTTTTAATTGTGACGAGTTTTAACTTGAATATATTTTTCAACTTAAATTTTCTTTCTATTTTAGGAACGTTTTCTCTTTCCAATTTATCCACATATTTGTTTATTGGCAGCTATTTGTTTGGATTGTTTGTATAGATTATTAAATAAAACAAAATTCGCAACAACATTTTGTATTGCTATTTTAATTATTTTTGTTGTTGCAAGTTTTTCACGTATTGCTGCTTTACACAGAAATTACTCTGGATTGTTGGATATTTACAAAGATTTTAATAATAAAATATCTTCTGATAGAAATTTGATACAAAATGTAAATTTATAAATTTGTTTTTTTTTATTTAAAAAATTTTTAAAGACAACAAAAAAATTGCCAATAAGAGTTTGTATTGGAAAAGAATGGCATCGTTTTCCTTCTTCTTTCTTTTTGCCAGAAAGTGGAAGAAATTTTAGTGAAGTAGAAATGCGTTTTATTCGCAGCGAATTTCGGGCTCTTTTACCAGATATTTTCCCAAAAGGGTCAACATTATCAGAAATTACAAGACAAATACCAATTCATCAAAATGATGAAAATAGGGAACAATTAGAGAGATATGTGCCTTTAGAGTCTTGTAACTTTCTAATTGATTTGGTTGGAATGGAACCGACAGAACTGGAACCAGATTATTCAAAAATGGTGGGTAAAATAATAATTAAAAAATAATTACTAAACCGAAAGTTTTAATGAATATTTTTGAGGGATTATAAATTTTATTTAAAATTTGGAAAATTGAAAAAGTGAAAAACCAACATGTAAAACCCGAAATAATAATATAGAAAATATACTTATTTGCTCTTCTTTTAAACTAGTTATCTTCTTCATCACATGATTCACATTCTAAATGTCTATCACCCAAAAATTCATATCTAGTTATTCTCACTAATTTATAAGGCATTTCATCCCACCATTTCTTCCAAACAAGAACTTGCATATTTCCATTATTTTCATCTTTTTCTTCTTTCGTTTTTGTATCTTTTTTCGAATCTTCTTCTTTTCTATCACCATCATTTTCTATTGAAGATACAGAGGCTATACAACTAGGTGCTTTTGTTTTTTCATTAAAGACGAGTTTTTGCTAAAGAAAATATTTTTCAATTAACAAATTTAAAAAATAAACAAACCCTGTCTTTTACATCTTTTCCTCTTACAAGTTTTTCGTTTACCTAAATTTAAAATAATATTTCATAAATATTAATTAAAAGCTCACTCTAAGTTCAGCATTTTCTTCTAATAATTTAATTAAAATAAAAGCAATATTTAAAGTATCATCCATACCACAATGTTCTCTGCCAGTAAATTGTATATTTAAATGTTTTAACATTATATTTAAAGATATCCCATTTGGAAATAATTTTTCTTTTGTTGTTGTTTCCTCCACTACATGAACTAGAAATATTTTTAAAAATATTTCTGTAAAATATTACCAGAATTTCCATCACAATGGTAGCGTTGAGGCTGTGACTGTATAGTATAAAAATTTACAAATGAACGTCGGATATTCAAAAAACAACGAAAATCGTGGGGAATCGATTGGTTTGAACGTAAACACTCCATTTGAAAAAACTTTCCAATATCCCAGGGTCCGTCTGTAACATAACAAAATCGTCTTGCATTTCCCATATTTCGTTTACCATCTAGTCCATGTTTTGCCATCCAACCACGAAATAGTTGCAAAGCTATAGGAAATGTTGGAGCTTTATCGACATTTTCTTGTGTTATTCCTTCAAATGAGAATTTAATATGGAAATCCTGACAACATCTGACCAGTTAAATCTTTGCAAAATTCAGTTAATCTCGGATTAATGGATGGCTTGACAAATGTATGGAATTTATCAATCTGAAGAGATTTTTATTTTGAAAAGAAAAAAATATAAATTCATACAATTTTACAAGATTGCACACTAATCAAGACAGCAGGGAATTCAATTATTTCATGTTCAAAATCGTAATTATTTTCTTCACAGCTACATTCAAAATCAATCACAATAAAATAATTATAAAATTTTTTTGTAGAATATTTTCTTCTTAATTCAATTAATTCATCTCGATAATGATCTTTTAACGTTGCAATCATTTTGCCCCTTTTTAGTTTACTAAAATTTAAAATATTTTCTTTTTGAAATATTTAAATTAAAAAAAACCTTGAATCTTTATCTATTCTTTTCATTTCTCTTTGTAATTCGATATCACTCATAGATTCTAAAAATTCAAAAAGATATTCCACACGTTCATTTATCATATTTTAAATTTTGCAGAAATTATTTACAGCCAATTATAATTTTTTGAAATAGATATTTCGATTATTTCTCCAGTATTGACGTTATGAAAAATATTTTATTTTTACCAAAATGAAAAAAATACAAATTGCCAAAATTTGTTTAACCAAAAATGGATTAAATAATCGAACTGCAAATTAATAAATGCGTGTTAATTTTTGATTATTCTTTTTTTGATTGTCAAAAGTGCATTTTTAATCTAATGATTGGCTAGAAATTTTTTGTGACGTGTCCTTTTTTAATTTATATTATTTCAGGAGGAATTCCAGTCAATTATTCAAAGTCGCGTGCTTCTTTCTTCCAACTCTCATCCTCTTTTTAGAGCGTTTTACATTCCTTTTACACCCATTGAATTTCTTAAATTTGGAAATATTCACGTATTTCAAAGGAAATTAAAATAATTTATTTCTTTAAAATTTAATTGAATATATTTTTTAGATAAATTTATTTTTGTTTATTTAAATTTATTAATTTGTTTAATCATTTTATCTTATTAAATTTTCAAATAATTTTAATTTTACAGACCAGATTTTTCTTGGTTTTAGCTAATTTGTAAATTTTATTGTTAAATGGCACCAAAGCAGCGCATGAATGTTGCCAATCAAGCTTTCAGCAAAAATGTTGTATCCCGCGGAAATGTTGCCAAATCGATGAAGCCAGAACAGAACAAGTATGCAGCTGCCCCCTGGCTTATTGGCGTTTTTGTTAGTTTTTAATTATTTTTGCTCTTATTTAAATTTAATTGTATTCAGGTGTTTGTTGTTTGCGGTTCTGCCATCTTTGAGGTTTTTATAGTTTAAATTATTTTAATGCTAGTCTTCTGGTATCTTCTAATTTTTGTTAAAACCACTTCAAAATTAAAGTTTGATATTTATATTTTTGTTAAAAAAGCGGGGATAACGCCTTGAAAATTTAATGAAATAAATTTTTTCTTTACGTTTATGATCTTTAAAAATAAAAAATAATTTTATAGGTTGTGCGATACATAAAAATGGGATTTTAAGTGACATTTCTTGGGAAGGAACGAAAGTTGCTGAAGTGATTTCATGACAAAGAACGGCAAACATTTTATCTTTTTGGTTGTTTTTTCTTTTTTGGTCGGACCATACTTTTTTTAAAAAAAAACATTTCTAATCTATTCTTTTTTTATTTGACTTTATTCCCTAATTTCTATTTTTCGGACAATTATATATGTGTATTCTATTTGAACTTAACAAGAAATAAAAGTTCTATATATAACTTGAGTAAATATAGCTGTTATTTTGGGGGAATAACGAGTCTGGGACGGCCTTAGGATTTACACTATATAAAATTTAATTTATTAAAAATAAAACAAAAATATAGAATTTATTATGATTTTAAAATATTTTGTATTAAATAACGAAATCCTTCAATCTATTTATCAAGCCACAGTAAACATTAAAATGTAGCCAACCTGAAAATTTTCTATAATGAGTTAAAAAATAAAACAAACCAAAGGTAAATAAGGCTTGAGATATGAACCTAAACACGGTGTACATCTATTAAATATTTTTTTAATTCAAAAAATAAAAATAACAAACAGAATATAATCAACAAGCCACCAATAAACTTTAAATTGAAAACGTCCCCAACTTAACCGAACAGGTCCTTTTCCAATATCAACTTCACCTCTTTCCATAGCTTGTTGTGCTTTGTGTACTGCTTTTTTATTGCATGTACGGCCATTAGATTCTTAAAAAAAATTTTTTTTAATTAAAAATAAATTTAAAAATAACCAGTAAAATAAAAACCAAAACGAGCTAATTGTTGTAATTTACCTAAGAAAAAATATAATTTTTGTATTCTTTTTTTAAAATTTCTACTTACTTCTTCCATCTGTTTCACCTTAAATTTATTTTTTAAATTTAAAGAATTATTTAAAAATATATACAATCAAGTTGCATAATATATGGGGGATTTTTCTGTTCTGTATACATCCATTCCCAAGAATTGGCAATTAAATGTGGAATATATTCACAATGGGGAGTTTTCCATGTATGACACTTGAAAATAAAAATAAATTGTTATTTAGTTACAAACTTGATGAATCATTATTCCCATATCTGGTGTATACCAATGTGATAATTTATTAGCAATTCCTTCAAAAAATTCTTGAGTATATTTATTTGCTTTAACATAAAAATTAGCCCCTCAAAAAACAAATATTTCTTTTAAATAAAGAAATATTCAAATTTACCATTAACCCATTCTGCTCTTTTACTATTTTCTTCATAACCAATTTGGTCAAATAATAAATCAAAACCTAATTTTTCTTCTAAATTAATATCAAATAAATTTTTACGCCAAAACTGAAAAAAAATTTTTTTTTAAATATTTAAATAAAATTAATTTATTTTTTACAGTATCTTGCTGTTGCATCCAAAAAGATTTTCCTTTTTTGATTAAAGCTAAAGCTAGATTAGCTCTTAATATATAAATTAATTGATAGGGACCTTCAGCAAAACTAAATTGTTTCTAAGAAAAGGAAGGGAATAAATAAATATATTATATTAATTTACATATAATGAAGGTGTTGGCCAATAAAATTGTTTAATATTTGGCCAATATTTTTTAAGTTCTTGATGTGATTTTTCATCTAACGTAACAAAAATAAAGCGATCATGTACACCCGGAAAGATTGCTGTGTTACAGAGAAAATTACTGAAAAAGAGTTTTAATTATGTAATTATAAAATACAAGACAAAATTTTGACCCGTGAAAATCAAGCTTTAATCAAATTTTGTTTGAAATGGGAGCAGGCCAATGTACATCGAGCCCAAGGTACCGGCGAGCTATACCTTCCTTCAAAATTATCGAATCCAGGACGCTCTGGTTTGGTTCGATTCAGCTCCTCGAGTCGCATCGAATCATACCAAGACGGCCCGGATTCGATAATTTTGAACGAAATTATGGCTCGGCGGTACATTGGGGGTATACCCGTTTAAAATAATTTGACAGAAATTATTATCTAGTGCATATTATAGCTTTTTCAATGCATATTATGCGCATATTTTGCGTGCAAACTATCTTTGACCGGCGTAGTAATAAACAAAGGGCGTCGAAAACTGGCGGCGCCGAAATATCCAAATAAAGCCTAAACCTTTAGAAGCCTAAACCTTTAGAAGCCTAAACCTTTTGGATTAAAAAGACAATTTGGCGTCGATAACGTGGCGCCAAAGTTATTTCTTCAACAATAACTTTTTTAAAACTGACGAACTCTATTAACTAAACTTATATCATTCGAATGCTAAAGAAATAGGAATCATTTCTTAATGGATAAATTTTAAGAAAGAAAAAAATTTATGGAAACAATAATATTGGCGCCAAACAATCGGCGCCGAGTTGTCTTCGACCGTTTCCCCTACAAAACCTATACCTTTTGGTTTCAAGTTTTAAGCAAAAATTTGAAGCCAAAAGGTATAGGTTTTATAAGGGAAAGTGTTTTGGACAATTCGGCGCAGATTTTTTGGCGTGACTAAGTTTATATGCCCGCGGTTACATGACATTTATGCCGCAATTTTACAGCTGCTTTCCTCAAAATTTCTGTCAAAAATTTATAAAAAATTTTTCTAACAATGTCATGTTCAATGCATATTGATTTAACATTAAAATTGATGGCGGTTTGTTATCCTTATCAATTTGTTTTAAAAGTGAAGCAAATTCTGTAGATTGCTCTATTGAATCGAGTGAAACACTTGATCCATAATTTTTTACATAAAACATTGCTGCTGTGGCTGTTCGGGTTTTGCGAAGAACAAGTCTTTTTAAAAACAATTAATACATAAATATTTAAATATAATCAACAAGAACAGTGCTTGGGGGAATTTAGATTTTGCTTATACTTTTATTTCATACCATCCCTAATTTTGGCCTCATACCCGTGATCGAAATTAGCATAGGCAATCTTATTTAGTCCGACTTTTGGTACGAGTATCCACCCAATTACTAATCAAAACTTAAGGTATTATACGTTTATATGCCCTCATTCTCCTTTTCTCCTCTCTTCTTTCTCATAATTATTGAAGACGGTAAAAGTGGTCAAAAATTATAATTATATTTTTGAAAAATCACGCACAGCTTTGTTTCAACGAGTACCAAATTCTGTATTTTAGACAGGTATTGAGCGTGTGTGCCTTGACTATTGGTGAATAAAGTTGTGTTTCCACTAAGATTTCATGGGCAACAGTGAACTATCACACGATCCTAATGGAGGTATCGGTTCTAATGCAAAAGTTGGTGCCTCACACACGTGAACTCACGGTTGAAAATAAAAATTTAGGAGAAAGGAGGGGAAAAGTAAAATGCTGGCAGCATATAAATGCATAGTGCCAAACTTACACTCCAACTGTAAACCAAAATAAATAAGAAATATAACAAAGAATTCTGTAAAGTGAAGATGGAAAATAACATTTTGCATAAGTGCTGGGAAGTATATAACCAAAACAATTTTTAATATCAAATTTAAACCTAAAATTGGAATTTATTTTAAAGATTATTCTCTCTTTTTAATTTTCTACCTTAAATTCCTTTCCTTTTCACTATCCAATTTATTAAAATTATTATTATTTTCATCTTTTTGAGAATTAGTATTAATTAATAAAGTTAATTGTTGTTGTTGATGTTTATTGTTGTCTAATAACAAAATTTTTCTTTTCATTATTAAATTATTATCATTATTTTTATTAAATATTTTTTTATTTAATATATTTTCTTTGTTTTCTTCTTCTTTATTGTCATCATGGTGGTAATTAAAAATATTAACTTCATTTAATACTTCTTTATTATTATTAAGCAATTTATTGCGGAGTATTAATTGTTGATTATTTGGAAAAGAAGAGGGAGAAGAACGATGTTCGTTAATAAAACAATAACTGTTTGTTGCTGCTGCTGGCATCTTTTTTTAATTTAAAAAATAATTCTCAAAATTTAAAGGAAAAATGTATTTTAAACAAAAATTTAATTGAAAAATTGATTTTCTTTAAATATAAAGAAGACTTTGATAAAAACTTGTTTTATTATATACGCAATTAAATAAAGAAAAAAAAAGAAAATAATTTTAAATAAATAAATATACTTTTTGCAACATAAAAAAAAGTTTTTTTAATTTTAAATAAAAAGTTTAGGAAGGATAAAACTTAAAATAAATAAATATAGAAAAGAATGAGAAACCCTCAAATCATCGAAATTTGTTTAAAAGAAGATTTTCCACTTTCTTCGTTGTTGAATGAAAGAATAATACATATATCCCCCATTCAAATATCCCCCATACATATCCCCTCCCTCCCCTCCCCCCGTACATGCAGACACGAAATATTTGTGTGAAACGTTCTTTTTTCTCTAATAAAACACCCATTTTCCCCTACTTTTTTTTGTAAAATTCAATTGAAATATTTAATCCACACATAAATGTGAAGAGTAATTCAACCAGAGAAATAAATATATTAAAATCCAGAAAACGTTAGGTGGTGGAACTTTTAAATATTAAAAAAATTTAGAATTTAATAGTAAATCCTCTTTTAAAAAACCGGAAGGATTTTCCAATTTTTTAAACATTAATTTAAAAAAAGAGAAAACAAAAAGTTTTATTTAAAAAAACAAAACCATGTAGTAAATATATTTTAATTTTTTTAAGTTAAGATGAAAAATACTAAAAAAGATATGTATGTATCCAACTTAAAGAATTAATCTCGTGGGACCTTTCTCGGATTTGCAATTTTGCCGAACATAAGCTACAATAATACACCAAAATTAGCAAGAAAATTAAGTAAAAGTGAATAGAATAAGGTTGAATATATTTTTATATTTGAATAATTCCATCATTAAAAAAGGTTAGGGACATTTAATTAGAGGTAATACGGTTGATGGAATTTTTATAGATTTTCCTAACGAAAACCCAAAGTGAATCTATAATTATGAAGCAGATAAAAATTTTAATTAAAAATTTTAAATAATACTAAAATAAAAATATTTTTTAAATAAGGATTTGTTGCTTTTATTTAAAAATACATATTAAAATATTTCTTTATTTTTTATTTAAATTCCTTTTAATTCTTCAATTCGTTTTTCACCCGGATATTCTAATTGAACATTCCTGTTTATTTTTTAATTTTAATTTTTTTAAATTAAATTTACATTGTTCCTAAATTGTAAAGACGGCGAGGAACTCGTCCAAGGGTTACATATTCTGAGAAAATAAAAAGAAAATAATTTAAATTAATTAATTAACCTCTAGGATAACGCAAAGTTATTTGACGATAACCTTTCTTTAAATAAATTTAAATAATTATTCCCCCTTTTATTTCTTTTACCTTCCCTTCTTTATCATCACATTTATGATAAATTCTTAAAAAAGGGTCGATATTAGCTTTAAAAACAAAAATAATTTTTTTTTAATTTTTAATTCAAAAAACCTTCAGTTCCCTGATAATTAGCTGTATTACCCTTTATTTATATTTTTAATTTACAAATTATTCTTTATTTATTTAATTACCGCAATTATATATTTCCCAACATCCGTAGTTGTTGCTGTAGCTAATACATCTTTTAAATCTTTTTTTTTAATTAATTTTTTTTAAATTAAATTTTTCTTTTTTTACCGTCAGAATTACTTTTAAAAAGACGAATATAAGCACCTTTTATTGGTACTTTTCCACAAAGTAAAATACCTTCTGCTCTGGTACTTCGAGTTGAAATACTTTTTAAAAATAAATTAAAATATAATTTTAATTTTTTTATTTTTACCCCGCCTCCCCCTCTTTTTCCTTTAAATTATTCCTAACTTAAAAAATAATTTTCAATTAAAAGAAAACCTTTCTATTTGTTCAATTTCAATAGTGATTTGGCTTAATATTAATAATAAATAAATTGAAAGGAAAATATTAAAATAAGAGATTAAACAAAACATTCTTTTCTATTTTTAATTTAAAAAATTAATTTAAAAAATAATTATTTATTATTTTCCTCAATTAATAAACATTTAATGGTCATTGAAGGATGTGAAAATTTTAAAAATAAAGAAAAGATAAAAATTATTATTTTGTTAAAAAAAGGGGGGAAGCTTTTAAATATTTTATTTTTAATTGATAAAAATAAATTGATAAAAATTACCGATAAATAAATAAAGAAAAATAAAATTTATTTGAATCATCTTTTTATTTTTGGGAGGACAGGGAGAGAATAGAGGGAAATTAAAACATTTGTTTTTAGTCTACACATAAATGCCAGTTGTTTATTTAATTAATTAAAGCTTTTTGATTTTCTTTAATTAAAAATCTTTAAAGAAATAAATACTTACATATATTTTTCTTTTTTTAAATAATTAAAATGTCATTATTTATTCAAAATATTTTAATTTTATTTACAACCATTTTATTTGCAATTATTTTGAATAATTCCAATGTATTTGGAATGAGAAAACAAGGGTTTGAAAATTTTGATTAAAAGGATTGTTGGGGGCTATTGTCCAATCGAAATGAAAATTTTTATGCATCCAAACTGGCAATAAGTACCCGATTTAGAACATATGGTTCGGTATTCCGTGTATACATATAACATAGGGTGAGTAGACACTCACTCGGGACACTCATTACCAGATTCAACGGGTAAAATTTTGATTTGACGCTAATCAATACAAGCCAATTGTTGTTTTTAAAAATTAAATTTTAATAAGTTTTAAATTGAAAAAATAAAATAAAAAAAATTTTTTTAATCTCCTTCCCCCATTATTTTAACAAAAATAATTTCAATTATTAATACAGAGTAGCAATTAGTGGAAGATTTATTTGTGGAAATACTTCGGCATTAAGTAATTCTACAAAAGTTAGAATTGTTGATATTGATACAGGTATTTAGTAATTAGTTTTTTTAAATTATTTTTAATTTTAAAAAAAAGGTCCCGATCCAGACGATACTTTGGATGAAAAATTTGTTGATGCAACTGGGGCATTTAAGTTAAATGGATATACTAGAGAATTAACTGGTTGGGAAATAAAAAAGAAAATATTTTTATTGTAATTTAATTTTTAGATATAGACCCCGTTCTTTATGTTTGGACACGATGTTATTCATTGGAAGCTGTAAATATATTTAAATACTCAAAAAACTCCTAATATTTTTGTTTTTAGCCCTGCCACCGCAAAATTAAATTTTTAATTCCCAAAAAATTTATTATCGGAGAAGAACCTAAATTAAATGAATGGCTTGATATTGGAATAATTAATTTACAATCAACTTTTGAAGTTTTTTTTCTTTAAAAGATTATTTTTGAATATTTTTTTAAATTTAAGGATGAAAAAAGAGAATGTATTTTTTAAAAGAATAAAAGAAATGAGAGAAAAAACAAAAATAAATTTTAATTTTTTCTTTGTCATAAAAATATTTGTAAAAAATCTTTTTTTAAATAAAAATTAACAAATTTTATATTCTCTTCCAAAAGGTAATTTCAAGCAATCTTCTAGTTCAGGCAAATTTTCATTTTCCAAATCTTCATTTTTTAATTTATAACGTTCCAAAAATTTATTTTCTTTTTCATTATCTTCATTTAATTCAATAATTTCAGAATTTAAATTTTCCAAATTTTTTGCCAAAATTTTTTCACACATTAAAATATTTTTTAAAACAGATTCCAAATGGAAATGTTTGTCTAAAAGTGCATGTTCAATCCCAAAAAAGCCTTGTCTTGTTCGTCGTAATTTTCTAGTACTTGCAACTGTTGACAGATTTAATCCAATTTCGTGTATAAAATCACTAGAAAAAAATTTAAAAAAGATTTTCTTCAAAAATTACCATAAAAATTGATCAGTTTCACCATTTATTTGAATATTTAATTTAAAATAAGGAAGTTTAAAATAACACAAATCTAAACCAAAAATTAATGGACTTCCAAGAACTCCTAAAAAATTTTAAGTAAAAAAATTTTCTTTTCAAAAAAGGTAGTACTTATTTAATATCCTCACCTCCCCCCTCCATTTGAGTCTCACTTTTATTCTTTTGTGCCTCAGAATTGTCAACTTTCCTTTCTTGTATTTTCGCTGTTTCTGTCCATTCTTTCCTCACTAATTTTTGCTTAACTTATCTTTTACTAGAAATGGAAAATATGGAGGAAAATAAATTATAGACAATGAAAGGAAAATTAATCAGAGACTCAAATAGGGATGGGGTAGGAAATTAAATAAGTACATCAAAAAATTACTTGGTCTGGGGGCACCACGCCTAGCTAATTCAAAAGCTTGTTGACTTTGCATATTTAAATTTGCAAATTCAAAAGATGCCTTTTTGTATTGTAAACGCAGAAGAGAAAGTAAAGTATTTAAACGATGTTGAGAAACATGATCTACAAAAAATTAATGAAAATTAAATTAAATTTAGAAAAACCATATTCCATTCTTGAATTAACTGTTCCTCTTATAGAATTTAGATGAGTACCTCGACCCAGTTCTGCTTCAATAAAATACTCATTAACCCAGGCTAAACTTCGAATAGCCTCTAAACGATCACAACCATCATTGAGGCCAAAAACTTTAAAAACAAAAGTAGAAAATTAATTTAAATAAAAAATTACCACAAACGCCAGAACTGGACGGTTCTAAAGGATTTAATGGTTCCATTTGAAATTCTTCTGGTCTAAACATTTCACCAACAATTGAAGGGTGCAAACTTTTAAAATAAATATTTTTAATTAAAAATAAAAAAACCTGTAATCAATTTGTTGCCGTTTTCCAACAATTAAAAGAGAACCACTTTCTTTATGTTCTTCAACTATTGGCATTTCAATTAATGGAAGTGGACGACATTGAGCAATTACATTTGCTTGATCACAAATTTCTTTTAAAAATAATCTTTGTAAAGCAGATAAAGGAACATCTCTCGGCTTGAATAAACAAACAATTCCATTTAATAAATTTTGTATTTCTCGACAATTAAAAGAATATTTAGGCATTTTAAAAAAGGGTACGGCCCACCTTGTCGCGGGCCACCTTGTCGCGACCACCTTGTCGCGACCACCTTGTCGCAGGCCCACCTTGTCGCAGGCCCACCTTGTCGCAGGCCACTTTGTCGCAGGCTTTCCTTTGGTTTTTATTTCAAGGCTGGCCTAAACTTCACTCGCCACGTGCCGTACTTCATCCCACGGCTACAACGATTGGAAATATGGAAGGTTTAGAATTTCTATTTTGTTTTCTAGGTTTTTTTTAATTTTTTAGTTAATTTCCAGGAGTGTTTTTTTCCTTTTATTACTTTCTCTTATCCGGTTAAAGTCTACCGGAGTTTTAACAGAGTAAAACCGATCCAAATTACTCCAGAAAACCCCAATCGTGCCCAGAAGGTCTTTTTCCTACCCTCCATACCCTCCATATCAGCATAAAAAATTTTCAACCTTTGCGACAAGGTGGGCCTGCGACAAGGTGGGCCTGCGACAAGGTGGCCTGCGACAAGGTGGTCGCGACAAGGTGGTCGCGACAAGGTGGCCCGCGACAAGGAGGGCGTGTCCCTTTAAAAAAAATTCAGAATTTTTAAAATTAGGGCAAAGAAAAATAGTCTGAAAAAAGAGGAAGAGACTATGGAAAAAAGAGATAGTGGAGAGAAATAGACAAAATAACCGGATTTTAAACATTTTGCCAAATTAATTATTGATTTCGAACATTTTTAAAAACATTAAATATTTCTAATTTTCGAGTCTTGTAATTTCAGTAAATGCTCAAAATCTTCAATTATTTAATTACAAATCACCCCATCACACGATAATTATTTAATTTTCTTTTATTTTTTTGATTAAAAATTCATTTAAGATTTCTTTTGAAAAATGGAAAAACAAATAATTTCAATAGAAATTTTTAACGCTAAATCGCCTCAGAAAGGAATTACAATTGACAATGTATGGATATTTTTAATTTATTTTTTTAAATAATCTTCTTTTAAGGTTTCTTTAAATGACGATATTTTGTCTTTAAAGAAAAAATTTTGTGTTTTAAAGAATTTGGCTGTGGAGCGTATTTCTTTTAAATTAGAACCAACAGGAAAGAATTTAGCTGATAATCAAATTATTTCTGAATTAAAATTACCAATATCAAATGCTCAATTATATTATCGTGATTTAGGTCCACAGATTGCCTGGAAAACTGTTTAAGAAATTAAAAAAAATTTTTAAAATAAAAATTATTTTTGAGGTATTTTTGGCAGAATATGCTGGACCTTTTTTTATTTACCCCATATTTTATTTTCAACCGACTTTAATTTATGGGGATATTTCAAAGAATTTGGTTACATCTTCCAAATGTGTGGCAACAATTGCTTTGATTTGTCATTGTTTGCATTATGCTAAAAGGCTTTATGAAACTCAATTTGTTCATCGATTTAGTAATGGGACAATGCCTAGACGAAATTTGTTTAAGGTTTTTTAAAGAAATTTTTGAAAGTAAAATTAAATCTCCTATAAATAATATAATAAAATATTTTTAATATTTCTATGGGGGGGTTGTAAATGTTGAATGAAGATAATTAATTTAATTATTCCCCAAAAAAATCTTTTTAATTGACTGTAACAAAATTTTCTTTTATTTCTATCACAGAATTGTTCATATTATTGGGGATTTTCTGCTTTTATTGCCTATTTTGTTAATCATCCATTATATACTTCGCCAGGCTTTACTCAAGTATTTGTTTCTCTCTGCTGTTTTTTGATCGCGGAAATTGGTTAAAATATTTTTAAAAAATTAAATTTTTTAAATTTTTCCTCAGGTAATTATTCAATTCATATTTTGTTGCGAGATTTACGTCCAGCCGGTTCAAAGGAGCGTAAAATTCCCTATCCAAATAAAAATCCTTTAACTTTACTTTATAATTATGTTAGCTGTCCAAATTATACTTATGAAGTTATTTCGTGGATTTCTTTCTCTTTAATGACTCAATGCCTTCCCGGTAAGAGTTTTCTTTTAAATTTAAATAAAATTCTTTTCTAGCTGGACTTTTTACGATTGCCGGTTTTTTGCAAATGAAGCAATGGGCAAATGGAAAACACAAAAATTATCGAAAAGAATTTCCAAATTATCCAAAAGGCCGAACTCCTATTGTGCCATTTATTTGTTAATTTTGGATTTAAAAAATATAATTTGAAATTATTTAGGGTTAATTAATTAAAATTAAATTTTATATTTATTTTATAAAAATACTTAAAAGAGAATTTTTGTATAAAATCTCTCCATTTAAATAAAAACTTTCTATTTTTTATTTAAAATAAAAATATTTTTTGGATATTTCTGTTGCTTTCCTCATTTCAATTTTTGCATTTCCTTATGGAGATGAAAGGATTTGATGTTTCTCTTTAAAACAAAAAAAGGTCGAATATATATAAGAGAATATCCTCAAAAGATAAATTTTCCCAAGAGAAAATTTTCTGCCTTTTTAGACACGCCAAAAGCAATACATACACAAAGACTTTTTTCCTTAAATCCACAAGTGAGAGGAAAGGTACTAAATGGGTGTTATTGTCTGTAAGGAGTGAATGAAAATTTGTGTGAAAAGAATGTAAATTTTGTTTGTTAAAACTTTTCTTTTTAAATCAACAGTGATTATTTTAAACAAAAAATAATTTTATTGTTAAAAGTTCCGAGAATGTTCCTCAATTTGGAAAATTAAATTTTCTATTTTGTTGCGTTGTGAATTTGTTATTTTCTTAACATTAAAAAAAGATTTGCTTATATTTTTTAAAGAATTTTAAATGAAATTATTATTTATTATTATTATTTACTTTTTATTAATTGAAAATGTATGTTGTTTAAATAATTGTTGGGTAAAATTGAAGTTCGTATACCTCCTTTTTCCATCCTTGATGTATTAAAATGGTCAGACTTGTATTAAAAATTGTCAGGGTTGTCGGTTTCAGCTCGTATGCAACAGGGAAATAGAGTGAAGTTGATGAGGAAGTAAGCAAAGTCTGACCATTTTATTACTTTGATGAATGAAAAAGGAGGTGGTATATGAACTATAATTTTGCCAATTGTTGTTAGAAATTAAATAAAAAAATTAATTTTAAAGATTAATTGTGTTAGTCATCATTTTCTTCGCCGAACAATGGCACAGCAAAGACAAATTGATAAAGATACTGAAATTGAAGAAGAATTGGATTCTGATGTGGAAGAAGCTGTATGTATATTTAATTAAAAATATATTCTTTTAATTTAGATACTTGTTGATAAAATTATTTCTTTAAATGGAGAAAATGAAGAAGAAAAACAATTTATTCAACAACAAACACAACAGCAATTTGGAAAGGATACTGTCTTTGAACAGGGGGAAACTCGCGATTTTTTACATTTTTTGCGAAGAATTAAATACGACCATAGACAATGTCCACAAAATGAAGGTAAAAAGGATTATTTTTAAAAAATATTTTTGTTTAGGTAAAGCTGTACAAATTTCTGTTTCTGTCGTTATTTCAAATATTAGGGCAGTTTCTGAAGTTACTATGGTAGGAAAATAAATAAAAATTTCGTAAGAATTTTCTTTTTTAAAGGATTATAGTTTAGAAATGTTTTATAGAGAAATTTGGATGGATAAAAGATTAAATTATGATATTAAACAATTTAGAAATAAAACAGAACTTGCTTTACACGAATCTTATGCAGTTATAATTTAAAAGATATTTTAAATAAAAAATTTTTTTAAGAATTTTTTGTGGCATCCTGATACATTTATGCCTAATGCTATTGCTTCAAAAAATCCAAGAAAACAGTCAATTTCACATCGTTCATTGTTAAGGTATTTTTAATTACTAAATTAAAAAGTTTTTCTTTACTGTGGCAGAAAAAAATAAACACCCAAATTTTAATAAATTATTGTACGTATTTAATTCTGAGAGTATTGCTTACAAAAGGGGAAGTGTTAATTTTTGTTTGTATCTAAAATAATTTTACGTCAATCAGGAGGGGTTGGGGATTTTTTTTAAATATTTAATAAACTATTTTTAGGCTTCAATCAGATGGACAAATTCTTTATTCACGTCGTCTTTCTGTCGTTGCTGAGTGAGTATTTATATGTTTAAATGTTTTATTTTTTGTTTTTTAGATGTCCAATGGATTTAACTTTGGTAAATTATTTTTAAGAAAAAAAAGTTTTTTTAATAACTTATATTTTTAAAGTTTCCATTTGACTCTCAAACGTGCAAATTGGGAATTGAAAGCTGTAAAGAATATATTTTTTTTAATTAAAAAAGGCTAATTTTTTAGATGGTTATACTTCAGATCAAGTTATTTATGTTTGGTCACACGGACAAAGAGCAGCTTTAAAATTACATAAAATTCGTCTTCCAGATTTTCGAATTAAAGAAGCTTTTGTTACTTCACAAATAGAGAATTATGCTACTGGTAATTTAAATATTTAATTTTCTCCTTTTTCTTTGAATTTTGTGACGGTAATATTTACTAGGGTAGGACAAGGCCGGTTAACCGCCCGGTTAATTTATCCCTGTGGCGGGGCAAAAACAGAATAGAAGGAGAAAAAAACCCCGCCACCGGGAAAAATTAACCGGGCGGTTAACCGGCCTTGTCCTACTCTAATATTTGCTGTTTATTTGTCTTGATTCTACCCTTTTCAAAATTCTTCTATTTAACTCAAAACTTTCAATTAAATTTAAAGGAAATTATAGCCGTTTATATGTTTGTTTTGTTTTCTCTCGTTCAGCTGGATTTTGTTTTTTACAATTAATTATTCCATCAACTGCTGTTGTAATAACTAGTTGGGTATCTCTTTGGATGGAAAATGAGACTAGTTTTCAAGTTTAGAATTTTTACAAATTTTTTTTTCAAAATTTTTTTTCTTTAAAGGATATGATTTCTATAATTTTAACAATTACTTTTTTACTTTTTTCTTATAATGAGGTAAAAAAATAAATTTTTTTAAAAATTAATTTTTAAAGGTAATGCCAAGAGTTAGTTATTTAAAAGCTTTGGATATTTGGTTAGCTGTTTGTTTTATGATTGTTTTTTTGTCTTTAATTAAATTGGCTATAATGAAATATATGAGACAACGTTTAAAAATTGAAAATAATTTTAATAATAATAAATTGTTTGTTTTTTTCTAATTAATTTTTAAATTAATTTTTTTCAGAGATTTATTATTAAATGGACTTTTAATGCCTAAATTAATTAATTTAATAAATAAAAAAAGAAAAGAAAAAATAAAGAAAAATAAAAAACATTCAGCTTTAAATTTTGGATTTACTTCAAGTATTAATTCTTCTTCCTCAATTAATAATAAACAAAAAAAGTAATTGAAAAAATATTAAAAAAAAATTATTTAATTTATTTTTCAGTTTTTGTAATCGTCAACGTCCACCTACACCTCCACCACATTTAAAACAATTAAATATTAATTTAAATAAAAATATTCAACAATCATTTCCTCTTTCTACGAAAGAGAGGAGGTTTATTTTTAAATTAAAATTAATTAAAATAAATTTATTTTTCAGAAGATCTTCACGTCTTTTAAATTTAAATAATAATTTTGAATCTTTATTGGTTGAAAGTGCTTTTTCTAAATTTTTAATGAAACAAAAATTAAAAGAATTAAATAAAAATAATTGTTGTTGTTATTATTGTAATAATGAAAATAAAAATGATTTTAAAAAAAGAAGAAAAATATTAGTTGATGAAAATAGAAATGAATTTTTGGCTAAAAAAGGTAAAATAAGAATTTTTAAGGAGAGATTTTTTAAAAATATTTTTTAAAAATTAAATTGAAAATAAATTTAATTTTTTAAAGATAAAAACAAATTTTCCACAGCTCGTTCACCAATTAATTCAATTAGAATAGGAATTGAATCAACAAGTTCTTCATCATCTTCTTGTTCAACACCTTCTACAAATTCTGACAATGAAGAAGAAAGGAAAATAATTTTAAATAAAAAAGAGTTTTTTATAAATTTAAATTAAAAATATTTTTTATTTTAAAGAAAATTATTTTTTTGTTTTGATCATCTCGGAAATATTGAATTTTCTTCTCAATTTATGAGACGTTTTCATTGGATATCACAAGTAAAAATAATTAAATTTTAAAATAATTAATTTTATAAAATAGATGGGGTTTTTCTTTGGTTTTGTTTTATTTTGCCTTTACTTTTTTCTTGTTTATCCAAATAGCAGATCGACTAGTGTTGATCCAGCTTGTCGAAGGGATGAAGCAGAATGGTTTGTTTGGGGGGTTTTAATTTTTAAATAAAAAAAATATTTTTTAAAGGTTTGCTTCAATACCGACATAAAAATGTTTTTTAATAATACAAATTTTTTATTTTTTTTTCACATTTTCTCAAACTTTTTTCTGATTTAGTTGTAAGACGCATAAATTTTGCTAAAAATTTTTATTTATGGGGGGTATAAATAATATTTAAAGTGCCAAATGATTAAAATAATAATTAAGAGATGAACATTTCCTTTAAAAACCCTTTAGGGTATTTATTAGCGTAACTTTTAATAAAAACTACTGTAACCACCTAATTTTTAAAATAGAATAACAAAATATTTTGGCGAAAAACAAATATGAAATAAAGGCAACTTAAAAATAAAAAAAAGTACATATAAATTTTAAAAGGAAAAACAAAAAAATTTTTACAAAGGATTCGAACCTTTAATCAAAATAGAGTGTAGTCGGGAACGTTAGCACTACAACAGTTTTTAATTGGGTTCTCTACTAGAGCCTTTAATTTTCTAGGGAATACTGAATAATACCGAAACTGATAAAATTCAGAATTTTACCGAAGAGTACTACGGATGGCAATACAACAAAAACACCGTCGGTAGTTCTTTAGGAGTCAACGTGGGTGCCGAACAGTGCCGAAACAGTTAGTCTTTTTAGAAACATGTGAAACATCGTGAGGCCTACTAATGTTTTTTCAACCTATTTATGGATACTATAAAAGGACTTGGAATTATCCAGAATTATTCTCTTTCTTCAACTACTATTATTCTCCATTTTGTCCTCTTCTCACACAATGCCAACGGTGCGGGAGCAAGATGACGTCGACCGTGTTGTCTGCTGCAAACATGGAAAGCCTTGTCAACTCTCATTGCAACCAGTTCCAAAGTCTGCACGTGGTCAAGAAGTCCCAAGATCGCCAGATGTTGGTCGTTGTGGTGGTGGCAGACGCAAGAGACAGAAGTGCCAGCAGGCGGATAATAACTCGTCCATCACCGACTTGAAGGGAGGCAGTGTTAGCAGCTCATCGACCAACTATGAGAACATCCCGCCTGGGGGATTGCCGAATGAGGGTGACAATTTTTGTGTTTTTTGAACGTCTTGAACTTCTTTAAAATTATTTTTACTTTTAGCGACCGCTATTGACATTGGAAGTGGTGGCGGTTCTGCAGTTACTAGCGAGACGGAAATCACTGAAGACGAAAGCAATCCTGCGACTGATGAACGCCCTCCAAGCGTGGACCTGTTTCGCCAGAGATTTGAAGACGAGCAACTGTATGAGGACATCCACCACGTGGGTGGAATGCATCGATGTGGACATGCTGCTAAGAAGACTGCCAAGAAGCCAGGCGATGGTCAAAAGGAAGCTGGGAAAACCAAATCGAGCGAAAAGTGAGAGTATAGCTCTTATTCCTAAATAAAATTTTTTGTTTAGATCGCTCGCTAGGCCGGTTCCTCCTTCTGCTGCGGGTGTCGCTGTTCCAATGTGAGTTTCTCAAAAGAAATTTTTTCGTTCAAAAAATTCTTTTCACTTTTTTAAAGGTCAACTGCTGATGTCAAACACGCGGCGAAAGTAGACATGACCAAAAGCAGAGACCTTGTAAACCCTAAGGAGAAGCTGACTGAGTTCTATGCAGGACCGTGCACACCGAGTGAAGCTGAGCGTCAATGTAAAGCTGCTGGCATGTTCCGTCTCTACCATCGAATTGTGGTTGTCGATGAGGATCAGCTGCAAAGTGTTCTGCCGTTGTTCATTGTCTACAGAAATTTGAAGGGGAAATACTGGTAAGTGGGGAATTGGCGGCCTTTCTCTATAAGATACGCCCTTGGGGCTCAAAAATACTAATTTCTAAACTTTCTTTTTTCAGTCATGTCCGGATTGTGCGCTGCGGGAAGGACCTCATAAAGATTGATATTGAAGGAGAGCCCAAATTCCGAACGCTTAGCCAGCTAATCACCTTCTACGACATCTACGCGAAATTCGAAGACGATATGAACCCGTTCCCGCGTAAAGGTGGCGAGTCTGTGGAGGAAGTCAACTAAAGCAAGAATTGTAAAAGTATATAAAAATGTTAGGTGATTTGTGGGTATATTTGTTTGTGTGTGTTGATATGTAAATATACATATGTATATTTGTAAATATAATTGTGTGATATTGTTATGTAAATATATAAATTGTTGTGGAAGTTGTATTTTTTGTTGTATAAATAATGTAAAAATAAATTTGAATTGGTACAGTACTTCGCTAGAAAAAATTTTATGGTAGCGTCCGGGCTTTATTCTCCACAATATGTGAGAGTTAGAGGGTATCGCTTAGGCGAGGTATCGCTTAATCAAGAAAAGAAATCGGCACAAATTTAAAGGACATTTGGGGTTTACTTGAGATAGCAAGGGCGTAGCTTCAGGGGGCTAAAATGGGGCTACGCTTGATATATAAAAAATTCTCTAGGGAATTTTTTAAATAAAATTAGGTTCTAATCGAATTTATGAGTCACATAAAATTGTAGATAGAGTAGTAGAATTTCAGGTTTCGGACCCGCCAAAGTTTTATGGGGTTCCTCTTTTTAAAATAAAGAAAAGCGGGCAAATAAAAAATTAAATTAGAAAAAAATAATTCCACAAGCGGAATCGAACCGCCGTTAAAAGCCGGAAACAATACCACTACACCACAAAAGTATTTATTATATTGAAAGAATTATTGAGAAATTAAAAAGTAAATTTAATAATTTAATTGGTGGGGAACGAGACAATTGAGTACCGCCGTTTGAGTCCTTTGCTTTCCTTTGTAATTGCTCTTCCTTTGTAATTTCTTTTATTTTCTAAATAGTTACAATTTCTATAAGAAATTTTAGTGAAAATGTCTGAAGAATTTGTTAACCAACGAACTCTGCCAAAATCAAAAAAATGGTGGAAGAATGTTCAAACTGAAAGGTTTAAAATTTATTTTTATTTTTTCTTTAAAATTATTTTTTAGGCCTTTAAAAAGCAATACAAAACCAAAATCTGATTGGAATTCAAAAATGAAAAAGAAAAATATGGAAAAGCAAGTTCGAGCTTTGCAAGAAGAAATTCGTCAAAAATTAGTTGATGAAAAGAAGGAAATTATCCAGACAAAAAAGGAAAGAGAAGAACGCCGAAAACAAAATTTATTAAAATCAGAAATTGTACAAGTAATTAAAAATCCTGCACGGTTAAAACGGATGAAAAAGAAACAGCTTAGAATGATCCAAAAACGAGATATTACAAAAGAGTAATTTGTTTTGGTTTGTTTGTAAAACTTTATTCTTCTTTAAGTCTTACAAATTATTTGTTTTAAATATTGTTGATAAAATTTTTTTGTTTATTTTATTTTATTGCCTAATTGTTATTTTAACGAATATTTTTTCTCAAAATTATTTTCTGTTTAACTTTTGAAATTTTGATGGACTATGTGCGTGAACATGTATACTCACTGAAAAGGTTATTTCTTAATTTTTAATCCAAAAATTCGAAACAATTTCATTATTTTCAGCATGCTGGACGTGTGCCTAACTCAGGACCCCGGATTTTCCTCCCTCGAGGATTTGGCGCTCGCCAACGGAAATGGGCAACTTTGCGCGCATCTTTTGGGTCGAAGTGTGAAAGGTTTGCTTTTATTAAATTTTTTCTATTTTTCTTCAGATGTCGAATTAATTCGTCAAATCTCTCGTTCACTCATTTGGTTTACTTATCGCCGTAATTGGCCTTCACCAATAGGTGGCTCTGGAGGCCCAACTACTGATATTGGTTGGGGTTGTATGATTCGTTGTGGGCAAATGCTTTTTGCACAAGTTTTTTTTAGAATTTTTTTTTGTTAAATTTAACTTTAATTTTTAGACTCTCTTAGCTCTTCATTTAGGCAAAGATTGGCAGCTTTTATTACATCAACAAAATGTTGAAGCTTTGGATATTTACAGACGTATTTTGCGTCTCTTTCAAGATAAACGGACAGCTTTGTATTCAATTCATCAAATTGGTATTTTTAAAGGTTAAATTTTTATTTAAAATTCATTTTAGCACACATGGGCATTTCCGAAGGTAAACAAATTGGTGAATGGTTGGGACCTAATACAATGAGCCAAGTTTTAAAGAAATTGGTTGTTTTTGACAATTGGTCACAGATTGTGGTTCATGTAGCATTAAATAATGTACAGATTTTTAAATTTTTTTTCTCTTTTAACAATTTTTAAGGTTTTAATTTCCTCTGATGTTCGAATTGTAGCTGCTCAAAAGACTTCTAATAAATTAAATAATAGCCAAAATGATAGCATCCAAGAAGATAATTTTGATCAAATGGAGGATGAAGAAATGGATGAAGATGAAGAGAATAAAAATGATTGGAAGAGACCTCTTTTATTGATGATACCTTTACGGTTAGGGCTTGATTCAATTAATTCTTGTTATTCAACTGCAATTTTTGAATGTTTTAAATTGCCACAATTTGTTGGAATTTTGGGTGGTAGACCTAGACATGCTGTTTATTTTTATGGAACTGTTGGTGATAGGGTATAAATTTAATTCTTCGGCACTTGTAAAAGTTAAAAAAATTCTCTAGTTACTTTATTTGGATCCACATTTTTGTCAAGATTTTCAAGATTTGGATATTTCTTCACAGCAATCAAGTAATTAACTTTATTTCGAATATTTCTATTAGATATTTTTAGCAAGTTATTCTCAACCTTCTGAAGAACCAGTAATTGTTTCTTCGCCAGATGAATTAATGGTAATATCTGACAACGGGGAAAAAGAAATAAACCATAGAAGATCATCATTAAATATTCAAAACCAACAAAGACCGTCACTTTTTGAATTGTCTTCTTCAGCTGGGCCTTCTTCTGAATATGTAAATCTTCGTTCAGCATCTTCTTCATTAGTTGCTGTAGCTACCTCTTCAGTTTCCTCATCTCCTTCACGGCGTGAGGAAAACGAAAATAATACCGGCGGTGTCACTTCAAACAATTTACTTGCCTCATCTTCTCCCTCTTTCCGCGGATGTTCTTCCTTAAATTGGTTATTAGAATATTATTTTTTAATCTATATTTTTCTAATTTTCTTTAGTTCTCCACATTTAAGTAGTGTTTGTAGTAGTTCATCTATTGATGACCAAAATAATAAACAACAAAATATTGACACAAATATTTCATTTCCAACTTCTTGTATTTCTACTAAACATTCATCTCCACATCAATCAACATCCTCATCTCGAAATGAAGGGATTTTAAGACGTATTCGGTCTGAAGTATCAACAGTTCCAGCAGTTGTCGATTCAATTCTTGATCGTTTTATTTCGATATTTGCTGACAAAAATAAAAATGAACAAAAAACTAATTTTTATGATGAAGAAGTAATTCAAATTGATAAAGGTATTTTTTTAATTTTTATTAAAAATATTTTTTTTATGTTAATAGATGATGTTGGACATTCAACAAATCAAAATATAAATAATAATACAATATTGCCAGACGGGGTTAATAACTTTGATGATTCTTCTTTTCACTGCCCTCATCTTCTCTCAATGGATTTTAAATCCTTAGGTTTATTTTTATCTTTTTTTATTTCCATAACATTTTTTAGATCCATCTCTCGCACTTGGTTTTTTAGTTAGGGATTCTTCTGATTATGAAAATTTAATTGAAAGACTTGAGGTTTCTTGGAATTAAAAAATATTTTTAAAAATAATTTTAGTGCTCTTTATTACCAAAATCATCTCCCCCTCTTTTTGAAGTTCTTGAAACCCGTCCAAAAGGATGGCCACCATTTTCTCTCGAACCTTCTTACCAAAATGAATCAATAAATATTAAAGGTTTGGTTTTTTGTTATTTAAATTAATTTTTATATTTAAAAAGAATATGATGATTTATTATATGATAGTGATGAACAATTTGAATTATTAAATGAGGAATAATGGAATTTATGTATATAAAGGAATTAAATGCTTTCTTTAATTTACACCGGGTTTCGAAAATACCGTATTTATTCTAATAGAGTGGCCGCCACTCTATTTTTCGATACCCCCAAAAAGGGGCCATTCTATTGGAGGGGCCATTCTAATGGAGGTGGCCATTCTATTTTTCATAGGTAAAAATCAGAGATAGGATGAATCAAATGTTCGATCGAATATTTTTTGACTTCGAAATTTAATCGATTTTTCGTGTAAAATTCTATATTTTCGACTTTGGTCAGTGAATCTTTCTTTTCGTAACACTATAAAACATAAAAATCTTTTGCCTGCTGGCAAAAAGGCAACTTTTTATTTACTTTGGTGCCAGACAATCAAAATTTCCGGTATAGTTTGCTCATACAAGTTCGTGGGATTTCGGAATTTGGACGAAATATATGGGAATTGGGAGAGATTTTGAGGGATATTGATTAGTAATTAAAATTCTAAACTACCAAAAATTCCAAAATTTTCGTATGTCTTCAAGGGTCCTGAAATATCCAGAATTTTATCCCAAATCTCAATCAATCCATCATTATTCCTCAAAATCCTATGTCCCTGCAAGTCCCCTGATAAAATAAATGTATCAAACTAAGGTTGTCGGATAGTTGGAAATCTTCGGATATCCGGATCCAATATCCGAACCGGATCCGACAACCTTATATCCAACTTCCTTATATCGTCAAATTCATAAATATCTATTAATTCTCTTAATCCCATGCATCTTCATTAAATCGTTGTAATTTCTTGATATCCCTCCTAATCCTCTCAAATCCCCTAATATCCCTCTTAATCTCCCTTTTATGTCTCCAGATTTGCTCGAAAATATTATGATTATCCTTACTAAAGAGTAATATTTAATACAGAATAGGAAAATAAAGAATGTATTCAGGCATATACTTATTAGTTAAAAGGGCCATTCTATTAGAGGGCCATTCTAATGGAGGTGGCCATTCTATTTTTCATTACCCCCAAAAAGGGGCCATTCTATTGGAGGGGCCATTCTAATGGAGGGGCCATTTTATTAGAATAAATACGGTATATAACATAAACTTTTTTTAAAATATTTTCTTAATTTTTGTGTAAATTTTACATTATATAAAAATATATTTTAAGAAAAAAATTGGTTGAATATTTTAAAATTTAAATATTTTTTAATATTCACCCATGATTAAATGCCTTTTTTAAAGATTTTGTGAATAAAGAAAATTTTATGATATTTTTAATTTCTTTCAAATTATTATTTTTTAAATTAAAAATAAATATTGATATCTTTTTGTTAACCTATTTCTTTTAATAATTCCAAATGTCTAATGTTTGTGATGGATTTATTCAAATTTTTGATATTGGTGATAGTTCTTTTATTGCATTTGAAGGTTTCTTTAAATTATAAAAGCATTTTCTAATTTAAATTTTTCTAGATTCCGAACAAATACTTCAAAAATATAGATTAATTTGTTCATCGTTTTATCATTCAAAGTGTGCAGAAGATAGCAATGTTTTGCCCTTTTTGCCGGTTATTTTGTTTTCAGAACAAGTGCAGGTTTTGGTTGAAAATGGTATGAAGGGGGTTTTAAATAGAATAAATTTTTTAAAATTTGAAGGTTTTGCTCAGATTTGTCGTGTCAATAATTCAATTGAAGGTATTGAATCATTTTCAGAAATTAATGGCAAACTAGATAAATCTGAACCGGTAAATGAATTAATTTGGAAAAAAAAATAATTTTTTAAGAATAATGAAAAAGAAGGGGAAAATCTGCTTTCTTTGGCACAAAAAATTTTAATTGGTCGTAATTTAAAGAAAAGAAAAAGAGCTTTATTTGGGGCAGATGCACCTTCTAATCTTCTCAAAATTCGAAAAATAGATCATTTAAATGAAAATAATAATAACGAGAAAGCAACTTCTAATGAAATTGAGAGCTGTGAAAATGAAGAATTACAATTAATTATTAATGAACTTCGTTTACGAAATGTGGAGAAAGAGATGAATTCAAAAAGAAATTTAAATTCTTATGGTATTTTAATTTTAATAAATAAAATAATTTTTATATTTTTTATGCCTTCCATCAACATTATATAATTTGCCTGATGATTTACTAGTCCCACAAAATGCTGAATATTTTATTAGATTAACTGTTTTTCGAGACCTTTGGAGAAAAGGTAAAAACAAGTTAAATTATTAATTCTTTTAATAACAAACAAATTAAAAAAAGGTTTTTATCTTCTAAGCGGTGCAAAATTTGGTTGTGATTATTTAGCTTATGAAAAACCCCCTGGCGAACAACATTCTCTTTTTATGGTTATTTGTAGTGATGTAAATAAATCATTAAATTCATATAATTTAATTGCTACTTCACGTGTTGTACGTTAGAAAAAACAAAGAATTTTTTAATAATTTTTTTTTTTATTTATTAGAGTACACAAGTAAAAAAGAAAATTCTATTGGCTGTAGTAAGTCCTGGAACTCTTTTACCCTATTATTTAGAAATGAATTGGTGGAAAGGAGATGGAAATCGTTAATTTCTTAATTAAAATTATTTTTTTGTTAATTTTATATTTATTTTTTAAATTTTTTTTAAAATTTAATTTTTGTTGTTTAATTCGAAGTTGATTTACTTTTTTATTTTCATTCATCTATTACTTTTTTAAAAATTGTTTTAGATTAATTATTTAAAGCAGGGCTCTCATTCGTGCTTTATTTGAAAGTATTATACTTTGAAACCGACCTCCATACTTAAGAAATTGAATTTATACTTTATTGAAAGTATATACTTTAAAATCAACATTTTGGATTGAAAATGAAATTGGGGAAGGGATTGGGCAAAAAAGTGAATTTTTTTAGCCTTGGGCCTTCGAAATTATCAAAATTTTCGCCTGCGGCGCTGAAAAAGAAAGAAATCTGGCTTCTTGGGCTCCAAATTTCAAAAAATTTTCGCCTGCGGCGCTGAAAATGGGAGAAATCTGACTACTTGGGCTCCAAATTTCAAAAAATTTTCGCCTGCGGCGCTGAAAATGGACGAAAGCTTGAGGTTAAGACTGTCAGGGCTTTATTTCTTGTATCAGCGAATTTTGACATGTCATGCGTTGAAATGCACAAAATGCCCAATGGAAGCAAGAAATTATTAGAAAAGATTCATTTAAGAGAGAAATATAAAAGATTTGAGCACGAACAAATATTTTCCAATTTAATTTTGAGTATACTTTAAATTTGGAAATTTTCTCCCTATATACTTTTTTATCAAGATTTTGATACTTTTGAGTGGCATTTTGTCGATGAGAGCCCTGATTTAAAGCTATGTTGTTCTTTTCATTCTTCAAATCGTTGGTTGGCCGAGAAGTTATTATTGAATTGAAAAATGATTTAAGGTTTGTTTGGGGTAAATCCAAAAGGGCTCTAGGGATTTTGCTGTTTAATTCTCCACTTTGCTGACTCCAATTCGCTCTATCTTTTGAGTGTTTTTACCTCGGATTTGCAAGTTTTATCTGATTTTATTTTCTCTAAATCCTCCACTACGCCGCTTCTTTTTTATAAGGATTAAAAAAATTACGTAATAAATAAAAATAAAAAAATCTGACTTCAAAAAAATAATCTAAATAGATTAAATACTATTAATTTTTTATATTTTAATTCAAGAAGTTTAAAAAACAAATTGTCAAATTTACACTTTCTGTTATTAGAAAACCGTTATAAGTTAATAGGGGTTACTGAATCATGGTTGACTGATATAGTTGATGATAATCTTTTACTACATGGTACCCCATATAATATTATCAGAACTGATAGGGCCAATGGTAGGGGTGGAGGAACTTGCTTATTTATATCAAATAAAATACCATTTATTAAAATAGAAATCCCCCAAACTTTATCAGAGATATCTTGTATAGATTTATTAACCCCAGATGAAAAAATTCGTATTATTTTGATTTATAGATCAATCACTAAAGAAACCATTAAGGATTTTAAATCTATCTTGCAAATCTTGTATGATATATCGGCTGTATCCTACCCACTTATCTTATTAGGAGACTTTAACCTACCCAATATCGATTGGGAAAATTATAGTACTCAAACCAAAAATACCAAAGAAACATTATTTTTAGAATATATTCAAAGTTTAGGACTAAAACAAAAAATTGATAAACCCACTAGAGGAGTAAATATATTAGACTTACTATTAACTAATGAGGATGAATTAATAAAGGCTATAACAATCAATCCGCCTATAAGTAAATCTGACCATAATACAATAGAATTTGAAATATCTTCTACTAACAATTACCAAGATAATAATTATACATATCCAAATTTTCGTAAAGCTAACTATGAAATAATTAATGCACATTTCTCAACAATAAACTGGAATCTAGTATTCACACAATGCTCTGATATAAATCAACTATATTTCACTTTCCAATCGATTATACATAATGTTATTTGTTCCTTTGTTCCCGAATCTAAAGTAAAATCTAACAATCTCAAAAAACCCGAACACATTGAAAAAATGACATTATATCTAAAAAATCTGTGGAAACAAAAATCCACGCCAGAGCTAACACGTAAAATCTCATATGTATCAAAAAGAATAGATTCTGAAACTAACAAATTTTTAAAAAATAGAGAAAAGCATAAAACACAAACTATCAGTCAAAAATTCTCATACATCTCTTCATTTCTTAAATCCAAAAACAGGAAAATAACTTCAATTTTGGATAAAAATAATCAATTAGTATACGCTGATAATAAAATAGCACAAATTCTAAGTACCCAATTTAGTTCTGTATTTAATAAAAATTCATTAGACAATGCAGATCTAAACTCTATAACAAATCAAAATACATGTCAATCCGTAATCATAAATGAACTTCAAATCTTTGATCTTCTTTCTAAGCTACCTGAAAAAACTAACTCTTCTTATGACTCAATACCATGTATATTCCTTAAAAAATGCGCTAAAAGTCTTTATTATCCTTTATATTATATTTTTTCTTATTCATTAATGACTTCAACACTTCCTGAAATATGGAAGCAAAGTATAATAATACCAATACCAAAAACATTAAAGATACCCAAAATAGAAGAATTTCGCCCAATTTCATTACTATGTTCAATCACAAAAGTAATTGAACAAATTATTGCAAACCATATATCAATTTATGTTGAACAAAATGGTATATTACCAGATTGTCAACATGGATTCAGACCAAACAAATCCGTCACTACCCAACTAATTGAGGTTCAAGATGATATATCATTTGCATTGGATAATAAAAATTTAATAAACATAGTTTATTTCGATCTAGCTAAAGCCTTTGATTCTATACCCCATGAACGTCTTTTAACAAAACTAAAAGTAATAGGAATTGAAAAATCACTCTTAAAATGGATCTCTAATTACTTACACAACAGAAAATCTGTTGTTAAAATAGGAAATGAATATTCTGAACAATTCTCTATTACTAGTGGAGTTCCGCAAGGATCTATCTTAGGCCCGCTCCTTTTTAATATATACTTATCGGACTTACCAACATTCTGTTACACTCCTGAAATAAAAATAAAATTATTTGCCGATGACATCAAAGCCTATCAAATTCTAAAAAAAACCGATTTATCTAACAATTCTTTACAATTATTTATTAATAAATTCATTCAATATTGTAACACCAATGGTCTCAACATATCATTAAATAAATGCTCAGTATTATATATAGGTAAATCAAACCCTAAATTACAATACTCAATAGGAAACCACAAAATATTCCAAATTAGTAATGAAGACAAGAATAGGGATCTCGGAATTTTCTTCACTTCTAAATTCAAGTTTAATAAACATATTCAAACAATATCTCTAAGGGCCAATAGAAACTGCTATGCATTAATTAAATCTCTAAAATCACAAGATCCTAAAATTCTTATAGAAGCATTTAATATATACGTAAGGTCAATTATAGAATTTGGGTCACCGGTTTGGAATTCTTTAACTAAGAAAAACATTAAATTAATAGAAAACATACAAAAACGATATTTAAGATTTGTTTACAAAAGAATCACAAAGGTAAAAATAGAAGATATTCCACCATACAAAACACTTTTACAACATTTCAAAGTAGAATCCCTTGAAAGTCGAAGACTTAAAGCTGATTTAAAGCTATTTCATCAAAATATATTTGGGAAAATTAAAATTAACCATAATAATTCCTATATCATAAAACAAACAAAAACTAGGGGCGAAAAATATAAAATACAACCAACACGTTGTTCAACCATGATTCGGTACAACTCCTTTTTTGTTCGAACTGCTAGAATTTATTCACTAATTCCTATAGAAATTAAAAAAAATACACCCAAAATGTTTTCTAAACTTCTTGAACAGTTGGATATTTCCAATATCTTAAATGACAAATGAGATAATTTTATTTGCTAAGCTGCTTTGATTTTTATTTTAAGGACATTTTTTATTAGCATTTTTATTTTTCGTAATTTCACTTTAAATTGTTTTATTTTTGACTGTCACACCCTAGTGGTGTAAATAAATAAATAAATAAATAAAAAAATAAAAAATAAATAAATAAAAAAAAAGTACACTAATCTTTTGTAGTATATGTGGAACTCTACATTCTGTTGACCAATATTTAAATGTTAAAGTGACAGACATTAATGTTACCGATGTGGAAAGGTTTAACAATTTTTTAAATTAAACGAATTAAATTTTAGACATCCACACATGATTTCTGTAAAGAATTGTTTTATTCGCGGTTCAGTAATTCGTTATGTACATCTTCCATCTGATGGAATTGACACTCAATTACTTCAAGTATTTTTTAAAAACAAACTATTAAAAATTAATATTCCCACTTTTTAGGAAGCTACTCGAAAAGAAGTTTTGCAAAGTCGACAACAGGGGGGTACATCTAATAAATAAATTGTAACAGAGAAAGGTGTTACGATCTCGAGACAATCTTTTTTACTCGTTATTTGTTCGTAATAATTTATTTAAAAAATAAAAGTTTGATTTAAAAAATTAATTATCATAATTAAAATGCAAAAATATTTGGGCTTTAGCAAGTTGTCCATTCGCAGAACTGGCTCCTCCGATACCTTCGCTTTCGACCAAGCGAGAAACAACTTTTTCTGATTCTGAACTTGAAGGGGGAGCAGAAAGAAAAATTTTAGCCAATTTTCGAAGATTTGGGTAAGTATTGCTATTAGCTGCTTTTCTCCAGTATTCAAGTGGGTCAGCACCAATCCTTTCAATTGAGGACTAGAAAAGAAATTGGGAATTAGAAATTTGATAGTTCCTAATTTTTAATTCGAAAAATTATTTCAAAGCAGAAAAAGAATAAGTCAACTAACCTCCAAATAAGATTCTACTTCCTCTGCCACTGTCGAATATTCAACATTGGATGTACTTGTTTGGACCATAGAATTAATCTCATTAAAACCCGTCAAAAATTCTGACATGGCATCTGTCTATATAATTACAAACGATTATTTTCCAACATTTTTTCCTTTCGTCAGAAGAATTACAGAGTGGTCAACGACACATAAAATGATAGGACTACCAAATTTCCGGCAATTTTTTGTAAACCCATTCAAAGGAATTTACTCAAGCTTCATATATTTAATTTCATTATTTGCTTTTACTGGAATTCTTCCGAGGAAGGAAAGGAAACGGGGGAAGATAAAACAAATTTTTAAATTTTAAATTAACTAACCCCGTCAAATGCATGTTTTTGTAAATTTTGTCTCTGTTCGGGATCTAAATCTGGCAATATAGTTGCATACAAAAGGGTTTTATTTCGAATTCTTTGGTCAGAATTAAAAATATTTGCTTGGTTTTTATATCGAGCATCGAGTAATGTTGCCAAAATTAAAAAACTAAAAAAAAATGAAGATTAAAAATAAATTATTTAAATTTACCTTCTATCAATTAATCCATCCATTCTGCATCTCAATCCATCAGAAATTGTTCTTTTAAAAGATTTTTCTTCTGATGAGTCACAAGGATTTTCTGCCAAACAATTAAGCAAATATTTATATGTTGGTAATACAGAACTAATACATTCATTTCTGTTAGATAATAATTTTGTTTTATTTTCAAATGGTTGAAGAATCTTGAGAAAAAAAAATAAATTTTTTTAATATAAAAATATTCAGAAAAGTTTATTTATAAATTTCTTACATTCAAAATTTTCTTCAAAAATTCAAAATTTGGAAGTGTAACATCTTGAAAGTCTAAACAAGTAGCCAATAAAGCATTCTGCTGTTCAATAACACGTCTAGCCATTGTTAATGTAGAAGTCCATTGTGTTGGGATTTCTCCAATTAATGGATTTTTTGGGGCATCAACAAGCTGTTGTTGCCTTGAAAGAGCACTTTGAAAGGCTGAGGACCTAAAAAATAATTTAAAAATTATTTTTTCTTTAAAAACAAACCAATTATAGAAAGCAACTAATTCTCTACAAATTTGTATTTGTTTAGAGATTTCTGGTAAATTAGAACCATCACTTACTGACAAGGCTAATTTATGTAGAAAACAATCAAAATATTGAAATTTTAAATCTAAAAAAATTAAAATAATTTAATTTAAAGAAAACCTTCAACAGATCTACACATTGAAGAGGCAGCATCCCGTAAAAATAAATGTACTTTTGTTGGGGAAATTTCAAAATCAACAAATATTTCATTTATTTTATTTGTTATAGCATTTGAAGTATTCTCTCCTGTAATAGGTTCAGCGACAAGTACTTTCCAACATCGATTAAATGAATCATCAATAAAATGACAAGTTACGCTTAAAAAATAATTTAAAATAAAACTTGACAACGAATTAATTTTTTCCAAAAGTCAGTCAATTTCAACATTTTATTTTTTTAAAGTCAAAACGCAATTTTAAATAAATTTAATTTAACAAATTTTTCACCTCAAAAAATATTGTCCTTTAGAGTGACCAATAGCTGTAGTGAAGGAACAACTCTGACATTTCCTTAAAGCATCCTTCAAACTCGAATATTTTGATTGAAATTTTTTAGTAATTAAATTTGTCATATATTCTCTATTTTTCACTGTATAACTTTTAAAAGAATTTATTTACAAAATATTTATTTAAAAATTACTTTGGACATGCAAGTGACAACATATCAGTAAAACTTTCGTGTTCAGTTATTGAAAGGGACTGTGATGAAAGACAAATAAAACGAAGAATTGCATCATCCATTTTCTTTGATTTTATATTATTTTGTTCCCATCTTTCAATTTTTACTTTTGCGAATTTTGAAATTTTATTTTGATTTGTTGACGTTTTTGGGGAGGAATTAAATTCTCTTTTAGTTTTAAATACAGGGATTTCAACATTTTTGGCTATAGCAAATTGTTTGAAAAAACTAAAAAAGATTTTCTAAAAAATTAAAAGGAAAACCTTGGATGAAGCATTAAATGTCTAGTTGTTCCTTTTGTATTTCCCTTCTTTCGACTAATCCGTTTTTGGCAAATTCTACAAATTGCTGATGGATCACCTCTGTCATACTGATAATAACGAAGAAGTGAGTGAGGGGGTTTAGACAAATCAATTATTGTTTCATCAATTCCATTATAATTAGAATCTTCACTCAAAAAAGTATTATCGGGACCTTTTTCACTAAAAATTTAAATATTAATTTTTAAATTTTAAAATAAATAACAAACCTTTGTCCATTTATTTTTGTTTTCTTCAGAGGGGTAGAATTTTCGTTCTTTAACATTCTAGTTGAAGGAGGCATAGCACTTTTAGCTGTTGAAAATTCTTCAAAAATACTTCAAAATATAAAATATTTAAAAATAATTTATTCAAAAAAACTTTGGATGTTTCATTAAATGTTTAGTCATTCCATTTGTATTCCCTTGTGTCCTTCTGATCTCTTTTTGACAAATTCTACATGTTCCAAAAGGTTCTCCACGAGAATATTGAAAATATCGCAAAAGAGAATGTGCAGGTTCGGATAAATTAAGTTGATTGTTTTCATTAAAATTATTTGGGTCATCTCTAGTTATAACTAAAGTTTTTAAAAGAAATTAAAATTTAATAAATTTAAAAATCACCAATATGTTCTACAAAATTAGAAGTACTTCCATTAATATCTTCTAATGAAAATATTTGTGTATCCATTTTTTGGTAAAATTTTATTAAAAAATTGTTGAAAATAAATTAAAATAGTTAGTTTGTTTTTGAATAAATACTAAATTAAATTAATTAAATTTTGCAAGAAAATAAAATAAAAATTAAAAAAAAATACACGAACAAATAACCAAAATACAAATTCTTCTACATTGTTTTTTTACAAAAATTTCACATCGTAATTTGACAGAATGATTTTTTAAAATTATAAATATATCAAAATGTCTACTTTCAATTTAGTAAAATTTTACATTTTGATTTATTTTTTTCTCCAATTAACAAAACTTTTTTTAATTTTTAAGAAATGAGGATTATTTTTGTTTTTATTTTGTTTTTTGTTGTATTTGCTGAGGATGCCTCTACTAAAGAAGATTTACTTCCTCGTGGTGTTCATCCACAACGTTTATTTAATTTTTATTAAAAAAAAGATTTTCTTTTTAAGTTTCTTCATTCTATTCTAGCGGAGAAACATTTGCTTGTCTTGATGGAAATAAAGTTACACCATTTAATCAAGTAAACGATGATTATTGTGATTGTGCTGATGGATCTGATGAACCAGGTTTTATTGAATTAGGGACAACTTTGGGTTTTACTCATTACCGCTGTCAACGAAGATTTCGGGAATTTTGGAGGATATTAAGTGAAAAATGTTAACTTTTTTGTTCCCTTTTATCCCGAATTTTTCCTTTTCGGAAGGAGAATAAAATCCCTCTGGATTTTATTTTAAGGAACTGCCGCCTGTCGAAATGGCAAATTTTATTGTAAAAATTATGGATACAAACCTTCATTAATTCCTTCAAGCCGTGTGAATGATTATATTTGTGGTTTGATTTTAAAAATATATTTAATTTTTTTACAATTTTTTTGAAGATTGTTGTGATGGAAGTGATGAATGGGATTCAGGAACTGAATGTCCAAATGTTTGTGAAGCTCTTGGTTCTGAAGCACGTTCTGAGGCAAAGCAGCGACGTGCAACATATGAAGCTGGTTGGCGAAAAAGAGAGGAATTGGCTGTTGAAGGGAAGAAAATGATGGAAGAAAAGACAAAAGAATTAGAAAAACAAAAAGTCGATTTATCTTCTTTGGAGGAACAAAAACTTGAATTGGAAGAAGCAAAAAATGTTGCAGAAAGATTGGAAAGTGATGCGAAACGAGAAGTTGATGGACAATTTGAAGAAGAAAAGAATCGAAAATTAACTGAAAAAGCTCAAAATTTATTAAAAGAAATTGATAATGATGGAAATGGAAAGTTTGTTTTTTTTTTTGTTTGTTTGTTAATTTAAAAAAAATATTTATTTTTTTGTAGAATATCAAATGAAGAATTGAGATTATATTGTGGATTAGGACAACAACAATTATTGCCACCAGAAAATGAATTAAAAGAAGAATCTGAAAATGTCGGAGATAATTTCGAATTAGAAGAAATGTTTAAAGGAATTTTTGGGGAAGGAAGTGAAAATATTGATTTGGAAATGATTAAAATTAAATTTAAAAATATCAATGATTTTCTAACAAAATGTAAAGAAAAGAAACAGAAAGAAGAAAATGAAGAGGGGGTAAAAGAAGGTGGAGAGAAGGAAGAAGGAGAAGAAAAAGAACAGCCTAAATATGATGAAGAAACACAAAAATTAATTGAAAATGCTAATAATGCTAGAAAAGAATTTGGAGAAATTGAAAGTCAAATTAGTCAACTTCAAGATGACATTAAGTTGTATTTTTTTATATTTTAATTAAATCGAAAAAAAGAGTGAAAAATTCAAAAAAAAACTTAAACACCACCAAACTTTTCGATAAATCGACCGGTTATTTTACAAAAATAACGTAATTTTGCTACAAATAGGTATAAAAAAGATAATAAAAAATAACAGTAATTCGATTTATCCGAAAAATTTGGGAGTGTAGAGGTTTTTTTCTGGAACGGACTTTATTATTATTATATAATTCACTTAAAAGTAATTCTTAAATATTTTTCTTTAGAAATTCGGACCAATTTTTAAATCAAGAATATGGAACTGATTATGCATGGGCTCCACTTAAAGGTCATTGTGCAGAATTGACAACTACTCAATATACATATAAAATTTGTCTTTTTGACCGAACTGTACAAAAAGATAGAAATGGCCATAATGAAGTAGATCTTGGGTATTTATATTTATTTATTTTTAATTTCTAAATATTATTTTTTTAGTCATTGGGGTAATTGGGCAGGTCCAGAAACAAATAAATTTTCTTTACAAAAATATGAACATGGCCAAAGTTGTTGGAATGGCCCTGAACGTTCAACACTTGTAGAACTTGTTTGTGGGTCAGAATTGGAATTAGTAGAGGCTAGCGAACCCGCCAAATGTGAATATAAGTTTTTGGTACGTGTACCAGCTGCATGTCAAGATCCAAAAGAAATTGATGTTGGAGGAGAAGCACATTTTGAACTTTAAGTCTTACATTTAAAATGACAAAATTTTCAATTTTTTTATATTTATAGTTGTCGATCACATAATTAATTTATAAAATAATTAATTTATGACAAGTCCCCTTTCATTCAATTTGCGTTTGTTTCGCTTAAATCAGGGCTCTCATCGACAAAATACCAATCAAGAGTACAAAAATCTCGATTTTAAAGTACATAGGGACAAAATTTCCAAATTTAAAGGACACTCAAAATTAAATTACAAAATATTTATTCGCCCTCAAATCTTTTATACTATTTCTCTGCTAAATGAATTTTTCTAATAATCTCTTGTTTCCACTGAGCATTTTGTGCATTTCATACACGCCATGTCAAAATTCGCTGTCACAAGAAGTAAAGCCCTGACAGTCTTAACCTCAAGCAAGCTACTTTCTTACGTCCATTTTCAACGCCGCAGGCGAAAATTTTGGGAAATTTCGGGGTTCTTAAGACAGATTTTTTCCATTTTTAGCGCCGCAGGCGAAAATTTTTTGAAATTTAGACCCAAGAAGCTAGATTTCTTCCTTTTTCAGCGCCGCAGGCGAAAATTTTGAGAATTTCTAAGGCCGTAGGCCAAAAAAATTCACTTTTTTGCCCAATCCTTCCCTAATATCATTTTCAATCCAAAATGTTGATTTTAAAGTACATACTTTCAATAAAGTACAAATTCAATTTTGTAAGTACGGAGGTCGATTTTAAAGTACTGTACTTTCAAATAAAGTACGAATGAGAGCCCTGGCTTAAATTTTCCGAATGTTAATTTAATAAATTTTTAAATTTCCACGATTTTGGCGTTTTGTTTAGATGACGACAGATTGAGGTTAAGAGAATCAGAGTTGGATTTCGATTCCTTTCTTTTATTCGTTGGCTTTTAATAATTTACATATTTTAAGATGTCATTTTTCCTTAATTTTAATAAGAATTTTTAAGTTTTTTTTAATAAAAAAATTTTTAGTTTTCAAATGAACTTTATTTGGGTTGAAAGGCGTCATTGTCTTTTTATTTTTTGTTTTCTTTTAAATTCTCATTTTCTCCTTGTTTTGTCCGGTAGAGATTTTTATTCGATACTTCGAGTTAAACGTGATGCAGAACCAGATGAAATTAAATCTTCCTTTAAAAAATTAGCTTTAAAACTTCATCCAGATAAAAATCAAGATGGTAAAAATTATTTTATTTTTAATTTATTCTCTTTCTTTTTAAGACCCTGCCGCGCAAGAAAAATTTCAAGATTTGAGAGAAGCTTATGAGGTTATTATTTTTTTAATTTTTTAATATTTTTAAATAAAAAATGTTTATTTAGGTTTTGGGTGACCAAAAGAAACGTGATATTTATGATAAACACGGTGAAGAAGGAGTTAAGAAAATGGACGATGGAAGTGGTGGTTTTGGTGGACATGATCCATTCTCTTCGTTCTTTGGAGATTTCTTTGGTCACGGAAGCCATGAACATGATGAAGAAACGCCCCGTGGAGCAGATGTTATTTTCGATTTGTATGTTACACTTGAAGAGGTTTTGTGAATACCTTAAATATTTTTCTAAATTTATTCAAGGTCTATAAAGGAAAATTTGTGGAAGTAAAGAGGAAAAAATCTGTTTATAAACAAACAAGCGGCACAAGGGAATGCAATTGTCGTCATGAAATGCGTACACAACAATTAGGAGCTGGTCGCTTTCAAATGTTTCAAGTCCGAGTCTGTGATCAATGCCCCAATGTGAAACTTGAAAGACAAAATAAAATTTTAGAGGTTTGTTTAATTTTACAAAAAGTGATGGTGGGACTATCGCTCATCGAAAAATGTATTTTATGTAATAAAATATGAATTTCTCAGACATTTACTCGGAGACTAACGCTTAAAGGTAACTTACGATTGAAAATAGTGAGTTTTTTTAGAAAAAAGAAAGGAGAAGAGAAATAAAATGGGGGAGATAACACAAGATTATTAATTTTTGAGATCAGCATATTTTATTACTCAAGAAAAACACATTTTTTGACGACCGATAAGTCTAGCTAAAATAATTTTTTAAAGGTGGAGGTAGAAGTAGGTGTAGATAATGGACAAGAAGTTCGTTTTATTGGAGAAGGTGAACCTCATATAGAAGGTGACCCTGGCGATTTAGTTGTAAAATTGCGTGTTCAGCCTCATGCTCGATTTGAACGTAAAGGGATGGATTTATATACAAATGTAACAGTTTCTTTACAACAGGCATTGTCTGGATTTGAGGTTTTTATTAAATTATATATTTTTTAAATTTCTTTTTTAGCTTGATATTGTACATTTGGATGGTCATAAAGTACATATTACTCGAGATAAAGTATTTTTTCTTTAAATTATTTTTTTAACAAAATAAAATTATTCTGAAGATAACATGGCCAGGTGCCCGTATTCGTAAAAAGGATGAGGGAATGCCCTCTTTAACAAATAATAAACAAAGAGGAATTCTTTATGTTACTTTTGATGTAGAATTCCCTAGAGGAGAGTTTAGTGCTGAACAGAAAAAACAACTGGCTGAATTACTCGCTCAAGATAAGTTTGAACCTAAAGTTTATAATGGACTACAAGGGTATTAAAATAAGCAATACACAATTATTGACCAAAAAAATTATATGAAAACCCATTTATGTATAGTAGAATTCTTTTTATTTAAATGTTTCTAAAATTAGGGAAATGTAAAATAGTTGGGATCAGGGCTGATCGAAATAAAAATATTTTTTATTTCGAATCGAAACGAAATAAAAAAATTCCTATTTCGTTTCGGAGCGAAACGAAACGAAATGAGCTTGTTTCGGACGAAACGAAACGAAATAAAATAAAAATTTAAAGATATTGATTTTTCAGTTCATAAAGGCTTTTAATCGATATTTAAATCATAGATATGCACCCCAAGAGCTAGATGCGTGACAAAAGCAACCCAGAAAGACGAGTGGGTCCTATAAATCTGCCGATATCCCCATTAATCCCCTCAAATCGACATATATCCGCCTTAATCCGATATCCTATTAAAATCCATCGATATATCCAAATTACTTTGGAGTATACCACTTTAGATATCGATCAAGAGGGCGATATCTTGTATATTGCGATATCTTGTATATCCCCCTCCCAAAACCACCTATATTCACTTAATCCATAAAATCCAAATATACACAAAATCCCCCTATATCCCCTTAATCTCGCCAATACCACAATATCACCTTAATCTTGACAAATCTCCCTCAATATCACTAATCCCTCGAGATCTCTTTTAATCCACCGCACAAAGTAATAAAAATTTTAGTACAACTCCAATTTGGAGTACAACTCCAGCATATTCAAATCTAGGTTTCAAAAATTTTTATTATTTTTAGATCACAGAAATGAAGATTTCGGACTATTGTAGGTTGGGCGATGGAAGGCTGGTCTGCTCTAGCAAAACCCATAAAAGCTTTCTTCCTTTTTAGCGACTTTTTAGCGCCGCAGGCGAAAATTTTTTGAATTTTAGAGCTCAAGAAGCCAAATTTCTCCCATTTTCAGCGCCGCAGGCGAAAATTTTTTAATTTTAGGCTGCTCATAAGACAGAAATCACTAAAAAATTAATGATTATTTCAATAAATTCCCGTCATTAGGGGTGCATTTTCTCAATTTTTTTTGTTTCGTTTCGTCCGGAATTTTGGCTATTTCGTTTCGAAACGAAACGAAATAAATTTTTTTCTGTTTCGTTCCGAAACGAAACGAAATGGAAAAAAGGGCACGAAAGAGCGAAACGAAACGAAATTTCGATCAGCCCTGGTTGGGATATCTGACAAGGGAACATGGATATGTTTTTTTATATATTTTTTTCTGTGTTCAAAAATTTTTCTACACAGTATCCGATGTTCCCTTGTGAGAAATATTTTGACCTCATTAAGTAATTTTCAGAAACATTTTCTTTGTTTTATTTTCACTTCTCCTCTTTCTACCCATTTCTAATTTCGTCTTTTTCTGTTTAAATGTCTAAATCAACCTCACTAATGGCCTTTTTGTAACAAAAAATTAGTAGAGCTCTGTTTTATTGTTTTGTCGGGTTCTCGGTGTTGCAATTTTTGCGGTTTTAAAATAAATTTTTTTCACAATTCTTTACTGTTACGATTTGAGAAAAAGTTTACACCGCAAATATTGACTAACCCGCCGATTTTCTATTTATTATTTTCTATTATCCCCCAATTTTGGTTAAGTTTTTGTTTTTCTTTTTAAGCCATTCCTTTTCTTATTTTTATCTTTTGACTCAAAATTATTTAAAAGATCTGAAAAGTATAAAAATTTTCAATTCTAATTTTTTTTATAAATTTAAAAAAGAAAATAAAAAATGCATAAAAATATTCAATTTGAATATCAAAAAGCCCGTCATTTAAAGCCCCGTTCACAAATTACAAAAAATTATAAATCGTTAATATATCTCCAGTCTCAGTCATAATCAATAAAGCTTTTGCAATAAAAAAGTAAATAACCTTCACTCGAAAGTACATCTTCTAATCGTTCTTTTCTAATTTTTTGATCATTACAATTAAACCAATTATCTCTTTGATGGCGAACATAACAAGTGTACTATAAATATTAATTAGATTATTTTTAAATAATGGAAATTTTGGAAAGAATGACGATAAATTAAGTTTGAGGTTAAAAATCGGGCTTGAAAATTTAACCTAATTATTTCTACCCCATTCAATATAGTTTTTAATTATTTAACTAACATGTCCACTTTCTGTAGAACCAGTATGGTTAACAACAGCAAATAGTGAATATCTTTTTAAATTAAAAATAATTTTAAAAAATTATTTTAAACAACTTACTGATTACTTAAAGATGTTAATTTTTGTCTAGTTTGTCTCATTTCTTTACTACAACCTTCATGAATATTCCTGTAAGGTGTTGTATATGGAGTTAAATCCTTTAAAAAATAAAATATTTTTTAAAAAATTAACTTAATTTACAATAGACTCTGGAAAACGAAAAGGTTTAATTATTTTTTGTCTTTTATTTGAAGTATTGACATGTTCAAAACGTTTTAAATGGAAACAAGCAACAATTGGCAATTTTCTTAAAGTTAATTGTTTTGTTGATATTTCATAAGTACCACAACGTTCACATTTAATTTTTGTTCCCAAATTTTCTGCTCGGACAAAACTTTAAAAAATTAATTCTTTTTTTAATTAAAAAATAAATAACCTTAATAAACATTCTTCTAAAGATAATTCATTTTTATTTTCCTCATTATTTAAATTAGATATAAAAGTTGTTGTTGTTGAACATAAAGAATTACTTCCAACAGATTCACTTCTTCTATTTTCTTCTTCTTTTAATTTTTCTGTTAATGTTTCTTCTCTAATTGTTGTTGTTGCTGCTGTTTTTCCATTTAATAATTCTAAAGAAATATCCCAATATGGATCTAATTTTGTTGAAATTCTTCTTTAAAATTTTTAAAATTAATTTTTATTTTAATTTAAATAGAACCCGCATTTTGTGCATGTTAAATCAGATTGTAATTGCCCAGTAAATAAACGATCGATTATACATTTACAATCATGTGGATTTTGTTTCATTGAAAGACCTTTAGGTAAAATTTAAATAAATAAAAGATTTAAAGAGATTCTATTCCTTTTATTGTCTAATGACTAGGGTTGGGCAAAACATACAAATGCATGGTTTGTTCCGGATATGCTTTGAAGTATATCTTCCAAAGATTTGGAAGACAAAGGATTTGTGGGTATTAAGGGGGCTTCGGTGGATTTCGGCGGCTAATAAAAAGTAAAAATACTTTCAGAATGCCTATGTAATATATTTAAAGCTGATATAAGAAATTCATGTGCATCATGTTGTTCATAACCAGATAAATGTTTTGCATGCGTCCAGACCTTGAAAATTTTACTTATATCTATTTCGTCAAAAAACTAGCGGCGTAGCCAAGGGATCGGTTCCAGGAGGAAACCTTTGTCAAAAAGTTTCCAAAATTTTAGAGTTCCAAAAATTGCAGAATTCGGCTTGAAACCTACGAAAACGGCCCGCTCAAAAAATCTAAAACAAACCAAATGTAGCATCCTATTTGGTACAAAAGGAGAATAAAGACTTTCACCACCATAAAATTCCTTAAAAAATATTTAAATTTTTAAAAAATTAAAAAATAAACTTGGAATATATGTGATAACTCACACATCAAACAAGTATTTAAATCAGAATTTGGTGTAAGAGAACAGAGTTTACAGTTATGTTGATCTAAATATTAATTAAAAAGATATAGAAAAAATGAGATTAAATGGGGAAAATTCTACAAAAATTTTAAATTAATTTTTCTTAGAAAATTAATTTTTTATATTTTGACCAAATAATTATAAAATTAAAAAGGGAATGGTTGTAACAATTTGATCAATTGTCCATTCTCAATTTCTCACTAAATAAAATATACACAGAACCTGAAAGAAAATAATCTCTAAGCATTGGAATGTGAACAAGTGTTTGTATAATACCTAAAAAAATATTTTAATTTAAAAATAAGACAAAATATCCCCCAACTATTCATAAAACAAGTATTTCCCAAATTTACAAGTCCTCTCAATCCAGGAATTGATAAAGTCCCTCCAATTGATTGTTGAGAATTTCCAGAATTATTTGAATTCAATAATCGAAGTAAACGAAGAGAACTTCGTCTACAAAGACGCGCTTCATAACGACCAGGATTCCAACGATGTTGAAGACTTAAACCTAACAATTTCCTTCTCGCATTTTGATATTCACTAAAAATTAAAATTTTAAATTATTTAAGAAAAAAAACCTTCTAATTTTTTCAATTTTTCTGTCATAAATAAAATCATCACATTTTAAACAAAAAATCTCTCCAAAACATGTTGACATAGCTTTAAATTAATTTTAAAATTAAAAATAAATTTTAAAGAAAGAAAAACCAAATAAATGTCCTTTTTCTTGTAAATGTGCATTTCTTAAATGTTTTAAACATCCAAATGTTGAACAATCTAAACAGCACATCATTAATGGATTTAATCGAGTACCACAACAACGACAAAGAACTAACCAAGCCTGAAAATAAAATTTGGTAAAATTTCGGTATACGACACAGAAGCCGAACAAGTCGAATGATATGTCATTCGAAAGAGCTCGTCGAGCTGAGTCGAATGACACCAAAATCAACGAAATCCGACTTGATTGGACAAAGTTATGATCTTTTATTTTAGCTCCTTACCTATGGCGTCTGAGGAGATTTTTGCTGCTACGGAGGCCCCAAATACGTCCAGAGCAAGGGAGATAGGAATAGGTTTATGTTACGAGCCCAGACCCAGCGCCCGTAGACTCCCCGCGAGGCGCGTGCCGCAAAACCCCGCGCGAAGCGCGGGGTTTTGCACAAGCGCCTCGCCTACGCCCCATAGGTTTAGGTTTTAGTTTTTCTATCGTAACTTTGTCCAATCAAGTCGGATTTCGTTGATTTTGGTGTCATTCGACTCAGCTCGAGGAGCTCTTTCGAATGAGCTATTATTTGCATATTCGAATTTTTTACCCCAAAAAAGTGCTTGGTCCCCCCTTTGGTTTTTCGATTTTCGGGGGCCTATATCTCAGCCCCTGTATGAGTCCGCACGAAAATTTTTTCACCATTCGACTCAACTCGACGAGCTCTTTCGAATGACATATCACTCGACCTAATCGGCGTCTGTGTCGTATACCGGAATTTTTCCTAAAATTTTATACAAAAATAAAATAATTTAAACTTTAATTTTATTATTTTGTTTAGTTGTTGGGAAAACAATTCTTTTATATAATAAATCACATTTACGAAGAATTGACACTTTTTTCTTTGCAAAATGTATACAAGAACGCATGTTTATTTTGTTAATTATTAATTTTTATTAAATCTAAAAATTCAATTTATGTAAGAAAAAGGAAAAATGAGGGCTCCCGTACAGAAGACCGACTGATTAAAAGACCGCCACTGTGAAAAAGCCAGTTCTTTTAACCCTTGTTAGCCGAATCGGTCTTTTACCCAGCGGTCTTTTGTACCTGAACGAAAATGAGCCAGCGGTAAATCTAACAAATGCAAGATGAAATAAAAATTAATTCTATCTGCTGCTAGTTACTTTATAATTTCAAAACACATGTGAGATAGTACAGAAATATTTAATTTTCAATAATAAAAAGTATCGAAACAAAGAAATCTTCGAAAAGTATTTCGCCGACCCCAAACTTTGTTTTTCTGTCATAACTTTGTCAAAATTTATTCAATCACAGTAATTTTGGTGTCATTCAACTCAGCTTGCCGAGTTCTTTAGAATGATTCTTCTGTTAAGAAACAAAAACCCCTTATAAGTCACAATATTTTCCGGGATGTTTAGTATTCTTGTGTTAGGTTAACTCAATTAATGTAGGCGCTGAATTTAGAATTAAAAAACTCAGCCTGGGAAATAGAAGATCGGAAGTGACCCGGATAGTCTTGTGAAAAAATTTTTGCGTACATTCTATATTACAATTCCTATAATTTCTTGACACAAACGATATTTAAATGAGGTAAATTTTAAAAATATTAGTGAAAATACTACATAAAATATAATACAATAATAAAAAAATATACACCTATCCATATAATTATGTATTTGTGACATAAAAAATGGGTACTATCGCAAGCCTGACTGGTTCAATTTGTGATAACCAAAGAATCCTCTTATACCCTTGAGCATTTTTAGAAAATAGTCAAAATTCGTCATAAAAAATAAAAATGCAGGGTCAATAATGCGATAATACCAAAAATTAAAAATATAAATTTCGAGATTAAATTAAAATAAAAAGTAGCAAATTTTTTAAAATTTTCGAGTTTTTTGCACCTAAGGAAAATAATTATTAAATAAATGCATGAAATAATTAGAGAAATATTATTATTTAAATTAAAGGCGAGAGACAAATGCTGCAACAGAGGTTGATGGAACTGAAGTGTTTTGATTAGTTGTTGTTGTTGGTCGAATTGTTTCAACTTTGCTGGTTAAAACAGAACGGCGAGAACTTTGTTTTTGTGAATTATTTAAATTATTATTAGTTAAAAATCTTGAAGGAATATTTAGTTGACTACGAGGACGTAATTCATATTTACAATTTGTTTGGTGTGATAAAGGACCGTCAATTGGCGACCGAAATTTTGAAGAGGAAGAATCATCTTTTAAAAAATTGATTTTTAAAAGGTAATTTATTTTTTAAACCTAATATTTTTGTAGTAGCTTGTTTTGTATTTGCATTTATTTTTGCATATTGTCTAGTTAATGCCCGATCAAAGGAAGAGGCTGCTGTCGACGAGGATGTAGCGGTTGTGCCTGAGGGAATTCTTAAAATTTATTTTTTCTTTAAAATTATTTCTAAATTATTTAGAAAAGAATTTTCTACTAAATCTTAAACATTTTAAAGGAATATATTTTAAATTTAAACAAACCTTCTAATCCAACAGGTAAATATGTCTTCACAAAACGAGAATTACTTTAAAATAATTAAAAAATAAATTTAAAAAAATTATTTATTTACCTAAAATGTATTCTTCTTGGAATTGCAGAATTACTAGATCTAACACCTCCAATTGTATAATTATCAAAATTTGTTGAAACTGAGACTTTTTTAATCTTTTTTAAAGAAAAAAATATTTAAATAATTTTAATTTTTTAAATTACAGGTATTTTTGTATTCAAATTTTTTCCAATTCCTCCACAAATTTTTTGATTTTTTAGAACTTTTCTAGAAAAATATTTCTTTTCATTTTCCTTTTTTAAAATATTTTCTTCAATTTTTATTTTATTTTCAATTTTTGACGGATTTGTTGTACTCAATTTTAATTGTTTTATCGGCGTTGTTGTTAGTGATGTTTGAGGAGGGGGAAATGACAATTCTTCTTTTTTATATTCCAAAATGGTATTAACCTTTTTTTTAATTATTTTTAATAAAAAAAATTAATTAATTAAAAAAAACCTCAAAACTTTCAGGTGAACGATTAGTTAAAATTATTTCATCTCTTTCACCCACAGATTCTTCACTTGATCTTAATCTACTATTACTCCTTCCAAAATTTTGTTTAGACGATTGACGATGTTGTCTTGCTGCTTTAATTTCACATAAACGATCACCTTGGCTTTTACCTTTTTCGTCATCCTAAAAAAATATTTTTTTTATTTGTATAAATTAAAAAAAACCTCTTCTTCAAAAGTTTTTCTTTCATTCCACAATTGTTTATTATTAATAAATTCTTTTTCATTTTTAATTATTTCTTCTTTATTTTTGGAGGAAAATGTTTCATCATTATCCTCTTTTTCTAAAGAAATTTGTTTTTTATTTTCACGTCCCAATTGCCAACACCAGGATTGTTTTTCAATTAAAAATTGTTGTTGAGGTCCAATTACTTTAAAAACAAAATTAAAAATATTCTTTTAATTAAAAAAACAAACCTGAACCGGGCCTACAAATTCGTAACCAACCCTTTAAAAAAATAAAAATCATTATTAGAAAATATAAAAATATACCATGCATTGTGGAGCTGTTAATCTAAAATTCTTCATCATCCAACAGGCAATTAAAGTGCCTGTCCGGCCAAGTCCCGCCTTTAAAAAATTAGACGAATTTTTTTAATTAAAAACCTTGCAATGAACGGCAACCGCCCCTTTAGCATTATCCACAACTTCAATAAACTTCAAAACAATATCATCACTCGGAGTAGTTCCATCAATAAAGAAAAGATCGTGATGATCAAAACCCGCTTTTGTAAATCTTTAAAGTTTAAAATTTAAAAATACTTTCTTATAAAAAAGACCTAGATGCTTCATATATTTTTCTATTTAATCTAATAATTGTTGTTACTCCATTTTTATTAAAATAATCAAAATAAACTTCAGGTGAATGATATGGGTAACCTTTAAATTTAAATTAATGTAAACTTAATTTTTAAAAAATAACCATTATCTGTTGTATATGTTTTGTCATGGGGACCACAAAAACTCAAAACTTTTTGAGGAATTATCCAATTTAAATCGCCATTCTCTACTTTTTCGTAAAATTCGTATTCGTCTGGATCAAAATTTTCAAAATTTAGCCATCTAAATTTTAATGCTTTTTCGACTGATTGAATGACATGCTAAAAGAATATTCTGTTAAAGTTTTGAACAAAATGTTCAATTTAAAAAAATTTAAGGGCACAACTACAAAAATTAACTAAAAACATTTTAAGGGTTTTTTGGGGAAAACAATAAATTTATATACCTGTACATGAAGTAAATATAAAGGAAATCCAACTGAAGCATCACGAAATCCATTATATCGAGGAGGTTCAGCAGCTTGTAATCGAAGATATGCCTGTTCTGCACTACAGTTTTTGAAAATAACCTTTAAAAATTAATTAAATAATAAAAAATATTTTTCAAAAAGAAACCAAATAAGCGGCAATTAAATAGGCAGCATTCACTCGGTTTGCTTGATCCATACTTGTAAAGAGAAATACCCGTTTATTTTCATTTTTCTAATTAAAAATATTAGAGGATTATTTTTTTAGAAATTTACTTCAAGTAAAGAATCCAAAAATTCACAAAAACGATAAAGCACTGACAAATTAACTGGACCAAAATCATCATAAAAGGCATCTAAATTTTAAATAAAATTTTAATATTTATTTAATTCAAACCATAATGAAGATGTTCTTCAATATCTAAATATATTGTTTTTTCATCATCATCTGGAACATTAAAATTGAGGCCGTAAGACGTGAAGTAAAGGCGACCCGATATAATTTGTGCAATTGCTGAAGATTTGTCTTCATCATTATTACTTTCTGGACTAGTAGTTGTTGTTGTTAATGTCATTTAATTATTAAATTAATTAGTTATTATTAAATTATATCTAATTGTAAGTCTGTTATTATTAATTATCGGACTAAAAAATTTTTTTATTAAAATTTCATAATTTTAACATTAAAAAAGGTGAAAGGCGGAATTCCACTAAAAAATACTGTCTATGTAAGAATTAAAAAAAAATTAACCTCGGTTTTTTCGGTTCAGCCTCCATCTAAATTAATATTAAAAATTTGGTACTTTTCCGTTATGTGACCGCACTTTAAAAATGTTTAAAAAGGGTCATGAATATGGGCAAACTAAATAAAAACGAATTTTGTACCTTTTTTAACCCCAAAATACGACATTAAGAGCCGAAAAATCAAGTAATCAAATTGAAAGCTTATTTGAAAAATTAATCGAGTTGAGTTCAGTGTTTGGAATTACACTGAGAGAAATAATTAAAAACAGTTTAATGTGAAGTTTGAATTTTTCTAACCAACCTACCTAATTAAAATCCAAACTTTACTAAATTTAATAATAAACATTAATGTTTTCAAAAAAGTGCTAATCACAATATCAATATAAAACAATTGTTCTAATTGATTAAATGACGATGATCGAATGCAAGTTCTATCGAACACATGAGAATAACAAGAAAAATAAGAGTAACCGAGAACAAATGTTCTTTACGTAAATAGTTTGAACGAATTGTCCATTTTTTGCTAATTTTTTACTCACACGGAATGAAAAAATTAAAATAAAAAAAAGTAGGTAGATTAATAAAAATCTCTTTAGAAAAAATTATTCAAATAAAATTTTATTAAGAATTCAGTATTTTCATTAATATTTATATATAAAAACATTTCGTAGTATTTTAAGTCTTGGTCAAACATTTATATATGAAAAAGTGGTGATTGTTGGGGAAGGATATGGGGAAGTACTTCTTAGATTTTATTAAAAATGTTTGTTTTGTTAAGTTCAAGTTCGAGAGTCAGTAGTGGTTTTGTTACTTTATTAATACCCCCCCCCCCCTATTTAGTCTCAGATCAATTTTCTTTTTATTTTTTTCTGCCAAATTTCCTTCTTTATAAACGTTGATTTTTTCCGTTACCTAATAATTTGCTCTTTACTTATAAATGTTTGAGGGAAAAAATGACTGATCTCAGACTCAAATAGAGATGGGGGCGATTTAATAAAGTACCGTGGTTTTGTTAGAAAATTGGAAATATAACAAAAGGAGAAGAACCAGAAATGGTCAAATAAACAACGGCATGTAAAGCCGAACCAATAAATTAATTATAAAATTTAACAAAAAATGTAAAGTTTTTTTGGTATAAATGCCGTTGTTTTAAGAAATAACATTATTCAAGCCCAAAAATCCATTTTTACCCCGAAAAATCTAAATTATTGGCGTTTCCCATATAAATGATTTTTTGTATAATTCCTCCGAATAAAAATTGATTTGGATCGAAAAATCAGTCCTCCTCATCAACGCCTATAATTGAGAGAAAATATGAATATAAGCACATACATAGTATATCAAAAAATAAACACAAAAACATCTCATCACATAATGAATGGGTTTGTGTTAGCAGAACCACCACGCGAAGCAGCAGAAACCGGCATCAAATTATTCATGTCGACTAGTTTAGAAAATGCTTCATCCAAGGTTCGCACACGGCCAGGCTCGTCCCATTTGAATTGCTCATTGCTAAAAGAATTTTTTTTATTTAATGGTCACACTATAAATTTGTGATTAAAAACCTTTCCCTTGCGCTTCTCTTATTAGACATTGCAGCGGCCGGCTGAGGAAATAAACCATCCACCGGAACAGCACCATTTTGTCCACCATTATTTATCACTGCCGCTTTATGGTCGTTAAAAGCCGTAGTAAAAGAGTCGCCAAAAGGATCATCCATTTGTGGAGCAATAACACCAGTAGAAGGAAATGAAGTTTGCCAACAATTATTGTAATCAATTGTTGAAGTATTGACAGAATTGTGATGATGATGACCATTCAAAGAAGCAATATTTGCAGATGTAGCTGAAGAAAATGGATCCTCAGGAAATGGATTTATTGAGAAAATAGGAGGATTATTTTGTTGCGATAAATTATTAGTTTCCAATGATTGATGATTGTCATTTGATGGAAAAATTGAAGATAAATTATTCCCATGAATAGATGATGTCCCATTACTATTAAAGTCACTAATCTGAACAGATCTTTGAATAGGCAAACTTCCATTAGAAGATGAAGACAAGTCAAAAAGCGCTGCAAAATTTTAAATTATTTAAAAGGAAAAATACACCCACAATTTGAGATTCATTTCTAATTTGGTTGGTCACTGAATGGAGGAAACAACCCCCATCCCCACGAAAAATTTTTTATTCAGTGGTAGATCACTGAATGAAGGCAACAACCCCCATCCCTACAAGTGGCAATACCCATTATTTTAGATACATTTCAATCTTACATAAAAATTTTTAGTCCCCAGGAACGAATTAAGACAAAAAATTTTTTTTTACAAATTTTTGTCGGATTATCATTTAATAAGCCAATATTTCCTCCACCATTATGTTGTCGACTATGAACACTTCCATTAACTGCAACCGGCGGCAACCATCCAGTAAAGAAATCATCCTCTGGATGTGCAGGAATATTACTAATTTGTTGAACTCCTTGATGAATTATATCAACTTCTTCCTCCAAATTAAGTAAATCAGCTACAGCTACATCATTTTGACCAGAACTATCTTTAGTCGAACAAACACCATTTTTGTCATAAGAATTAGCTTCACGTTCAGCATTCTAAAAATTTTAACAATTAAAATTTTCAACCGGCACTTTCCTTGCTAAATTTTATTTTAAAATGGAAGGTTAGAATTTTCCGTTACCAAACACTTTCTTTTGCTTATTTATTCAAATTAATTTTAGAAATATATTTAAAACTCATATTTCATAAATTAATCAAACCCTTAAAAAAAGAATTTTTAGAATGGTTCTGTTAAAATTTAATGTTTAAGAAAATAAAATAAACCGTCAAATTTTCCTGTTCTTCCTGCTTTTTCTTGGCCTCCTCAAATTGTTTCTTCTTCATTTCAAAGACAATTTGGAACATATCCTTAAATTAAAAAAAGTAAACTTTACATAAAAAAAGAATTAAACCAAAAATTACCCGAATTGAAAGAACAGCATGATCAGAAGTCTGAGCAGTTTTTAAAGCATAAAATTTATGTTTTCCATCAGATGTTCCAAAAATAAAGCCAAATGCGCGTGCGTCAGTAGTATCACGAGCAATAAATGAAACTTTGCCAACAGGAAAGTTGTAAAGAACAGCCTAAAATAAAAAAATAAAAATAAATTTTTTAATCAAAAAATAAACCCCAGATTTCTCGTCACGTAATTTCAGCCCTTCTAATGAAATATTTAGCACCACTCTTGTCTTGTGAGAACCGCTAGCCTTGACACTAGCTTTTGCCAAACGCATTGCTTCAGAACATAATGCATCACCTCTAGCTTCGGCTACGTCACGTTCACCAATAAATTTTGCTTTAAAGTCAACTCCAGAGCCTTGAAATCGAAATGGGTCGCTGTTTGGGCAAGAAGAGACAACAGTTGTATCTTGAATAAATATTAGAAAGTGATTTCTCTGATGTTTTTAACGATTAGCTGAAAACGAAAAAATTCCAACCAAGTTTACTTAGCTTTGGAACATGTGAAAAAACATACGAGGAAATCCAAGAGAACGAGTTAATTGAAAAAGTTTAGGCATTTGCGGAGCAATAACACCCATCTTTGTAAATTAACTTTGCTTTGATTGTTCAAGCTTGTTGAATTTTTAAGTAATTAGTCGTCAACAAAGAAATATGTATATGCGAACACAACGAGAACTAATCTGTTTAAAAAAGTAAATACATGAAAAAGATTTATAGTATTTAATTTTAAAAATGAAAACTCGAAAGAAGCATGATTCATGAAAAATAGGAATTTCAGAAGACAAAGCCTAAAGTGCATGTAACCAGCTTACGAGAATCTTGGGAAGGTATCACGACTTTTGCGCCGAGAACATTTGCGCCGCGACTTATGCGCCGCGACTTTTGCGCCGGACGACTTTTGCGCCGCGACTCTTGCGCCGCGACTTTTGCGCCGGGCGACTTATGCGCCGCGACATTTGCGCCGCCATTGTTTAAAAAATCCGGATCCGAAAAATGCCGGATATCCGAAATTTTCAGTTCGGATATCAGATCCGAAGATTTCCAACCATTCGACAACCCTACTAAAGTGAGGTCCGGCTGTAGTTATTGATATATTTTTAATGATAGTGGCGGCGCAAAAGTCTCCCGGCGCAAAAGTCGCGGCGCAACAGTCCCCCGGCGCAAAAGTCGCTCGGCGCATAAGTCGCGGCGCAACAGTCCCCCGGCGCAAAAGTCGCTCGGCGCATAAGTCGCGGCGCAACAGTCCCCCGGCGCAAAAGTCGCTCGGCGCATAAGTCGCGGCGCAACAGTCCCCCGGCGCAAAAGTCGCTCGGCGCATAAGTCGCGGCGCAAAAGTCGCGGCGCATAAGTCGCGGCGCAAATGTTCTCGGCGCAAAAGTCACGGAACCCTTGGGAATTATTACGGCTCGAGAACTGTCACTCTGAACCGGGTGACTAATTTTTTATATGAGTCCGCCCCAAAAGACCTACAGCCAAAAGACCTACTGACACAAGGCCTACAAATTTTTAAAGCGAATATCGAGGGATTTAGAGGGCTTAAGAAGAGTCCCTTGACCCAGCTCTATGAAGATAAGTACCCGGTATGTATTTTAGAACCAATGGTGCCGTATTTTGTGTGTGTACCATAACTCTGGGTGGTAGAGATCATTATTCCCTTCAATCATACTAAATCCATAGATATCCTCTTATTCCCTCCAAATCCGTTGATATTCTCTTTTGATATTCGCTTTCAAAAGTTGTAGGGTGTATTTTTCCAAAATGGGGAGGTTTGTTCCAACAACAGCCTTCCACCATATCCGATCCTGGAACAACATGTTGGACGTTGTTTGAACAACATCCCCCGTCTTTGGAACAACCTTCTCCGTCGCTGGAATGGAACAACCCCCCCACCCCCCGTTCTAACAACCATATCCGATGCTGGAACAACATCTTCCCTGTTTAACAAGTTCCCCTTTGTTGTCTAGGATTTTGTAAATACTGTTCAGTAGTGTCAGCTGGAAAAAATCATTTTCCCGGGTCTATCGGATTTCATACTCGACTGGTTTCGGCCGGATTTTTCGGAATTAATCATATCCTATTTTAGTCTTGTAAAAATAATTTCTGGACTACGGCTGGAGTTACTCGATTCCGGATCGGACTCCATGTTTTTCAGGATTTAATAATTTCAGACAAGTCAGGAAATTTTCTAATGGAAATATTCAGATAAAAGAGAAAGTAAATCTACTATTCAGTTTACTCGTATAAATTTTTAAAATTTAAAAATAAATAAATAGAACATTTAAATTAAAAAAAAGAAAACAAGAATTAATATTAAAATAAAACAAAAATTATGTAAATTTTGTTTTTAAATCCTATCAAGATTAAATGTAATATGAGCGATAATATTATATTTATTTATTTTATTTCCCAACCAAAGTTCGTATTCAGCCCTACAGTTATTTAGAGAGAAATTAAAAAAGAGGGGAGGGGGGAATTAATTTTTTAAATAAAAAAGTGTATAAATAAATAAACATTCCCCGTTATTTATAAAAAAAAATTTTTTGATTCTTCGAAATATAATAAATATAATTTAATAATCGAGATTGTGTATTTACAATTCTTGAAAACCGTATATTTTTGTTAACAAAGGACTTAATAATTAAAGAATATGGGGAGGGGGTTAATTGTAATAATAATTTAAAGTTTATTATTGCAACTTTAAATTGTAATAATAGAGTTCAGGCTTTAATTCAACTTATTATTTACTTTCGAACCTGGGCCCAGGTTCGAAATCTAAAAATACGAGTTCCATGCTTTCCTAGGTTTTAGTCAAGATTTAGCTAAGTGGTGTGTATAATATGTATTTTGAGCATTTTAGATTCATATATGTACATACTTTGCCATTTCACTAGCCAATCCAAAAATGTTTATCCTTCCTTAATTACAAATTACCTACTACCTACATACATATTATTTAAACAAATTTTTACTTAAAAAATCAATATTTCTTCCAAAAAAAATAATTATTCTGCTAATGTTGGTTAAAAGAAATTTTAAAAATAAAAATTGAATTAATCTTAAAATAAACTTGCCAAAAAAGAAAAAAGAGAAAATGGAAAAAAGAGAGAAAAAATAAAATAAAAATATAGTTGTGATTAGAAAATCTTTTTAATATATACACAAAAATTGTGGCTAAAAATTTGGACTTTTTTTTTAATTTGCGCGAGTTATTAATCATTATTGCATTTATCATGACACATTTTTAACACAATTTTTACCCGTGAAAATAAAATCTAAATAAAATTAAATTGCAAAATTAATTTAAAAATATTTTTTTGTAAAATTTTGGAGATTTAAAAATTGTCTTTTCCTTTTTTTAGAGATTTTCTTTCAAAAAAAAATTAAGCAATAATTATTTAAAGAAATAATTTTAAACTTTTCCTTCAAAATTTAAATGATTAATTAAAAATTAAAAAACAAACGTCAGCGAATATTTTCGAGAAAAAGTTTAAAAAATAATTTATTAAATAAAAAAAATATTCTAAATTTGGGTATTTTCTACAAAAAATATATATTTTTGTATTTATGTAAATATTTGTAAAAAAATAATTAAAAGTCAAAATCTACTTGCTCTTTTATTTTTTTAAATAAAAGTCTCCATATTTAGTCACATTTTCGGGTCCTTGAGCAAAAAATCTCAAAACCGGTTTTTATTTGGGTGTTTAGTATATTTTATAAGAAAATTCGCCATTTATTCAGCATATTTTTTTAATTAATTTTTATAGGTAATTATTATTATTTTTTGGATTTACCCTGCTACAATTTTATCAAGAATAAATTGTTTAAATTTAAAAATGTTGGATTAAAAATTGCAAAAACTTACCCAATAAAAATTTATACAGAAAAAAACCTTTTTCCTTTATTCTTTTTAATAAGAAAATCTTAAAATCGGCCTCCTTAAATTTTAATTTCAATTTTTAGTTAAAGTTTAAATTTGACTAAAAAAAGGTTTTTCTCGTCAACCTAAACTGTTTAAATAATAAATTTAAAATGAAATGTTTAGTAATTCCTTTACAAATTCTTTCTACTTAAAAAATAACCTTGAAAAACTCTCCCCTAATTAATTTACTTTTAAAAACAAAGAAATAAATACGTATATGAAAGCTTTCATAACTCAAAAATTAAAGATTTTTATAAAAATCGTTAAAAATAATTATTAAATTATTTTTATAATTTAACGAAAATAAATATTCCCAAAAATAATCAAAAAATTGAAGGAACTCCGGAATTTAATGGTGAAAGGAAATAGAAAGAATAAGAATTTATTTGCGCATATTAAAAAAAGAATTAGGTCGTTATTTATTCTTTAATAGAAATTTTTGCAAAAAACAAAAATAAATTATTGGTAATATTTTTATAAAAAAAGTTTTAATTTAAATTTTCAAAACAAAACAACAAAAATCACCCCAAATAAATTAAACATGCTAAAATTTGTTTTTAAATATTTTGTTGCAGCAATGGAAAACTAACTACATATAAATTGTGCGGAGCAGTCTTTACAGAGGGGTGTAAAAGCTTTTTATTTATAAAAATGCGCAAATGTCTGTCGCTACTCTTATATTTTGTGATCAAAAGAAAATTTATGTGAATATATACAAAACAAAAATATTGATCCTCAAAGCTGTGCAATGAGCGCGAAAATGTAACACATGATCATTACAAAAGGAAAATATTGGAAATTAAAAAAATTAGAGGAGGGGGGGGGGGGGATTATCAGATATTTTTTGAAAATTTATCAATTTCTTCAAATAATATTCTAAACTTTCTGGAAAAGTCTTAACGAAAGTAGTTTTTGCAAAAATAATTTTAATCTCTCAATTTGAACAAAATATTCTGTCCAAAAGAAAATAAAATTAGCATTATAACCAAGTAAAATATTTATAAACGTGAAAATCAAAGTTAAACAAAATTGGGTGAAAAAATAAAATTGGAGACAAAAAAAAAATAAAGTGAAATTGGTGATGGAAAGTGAGAGTCTCGATGCGACATTTTTTTAATTTTAAATTATAAAATGGCATAAAATTAACGAAAAAAATGTAAACATTTCTAATTTGAGAATAAAACGTACTAACAATAAGTATTTATAAGAGCTGGAGCAGCAGCAACTTGAGGCAAAGAAGTAGAAGCATCGGTAATATTTGGTTCAGCGAGAAAAAGCTTAAAATTGAATTTTAGGTATGTTAGGTAGGAATAATTTTAAAAATTATATTTTTTCCCTATCGCTTACTAGGACGAAAAGTTCTAATTCTTCTCATTTTTTAAAAATAAAAAATAAAGAATTTACCGCATGGTTATCAGCTAATGAAACGCTAATAACACGAAAATTGTCCAAATGTGCAGAATGAATTTTACGTGGAGTAGGCACAACTTTCTCGTCATCATCTTTAATTCCCAATCCAAGTTGACCAACAGTATCACATCCAAAGCCATAAACATTACCTCAAAATAAATTTAAAATAACTTTCAATTCTTTTTAAAAAATACCATCATCAGTCCAAAAAATAGAAGCACCAAGTGTTGCATCTATTCCTGCCGCTCGAACATTTTCAGGTAATGTAATTCGTTGGAGCGTGTCATAACGCCAATGCTTAAACAGAACAATTTAAAAAATTAAAAAACACTAATCAACCTGATCATCCTGATTTCCTTCCCAAGTACCAATACCAAGTGCATTGTCTGTATTTTTTCCAATTCCATACAATTCACATAAAATTAAAATAAATATAAAATTTAATTGTAAAATAAAAATTACCATCCTCATTACGACAAACAATGTGTTGGACCCCTGATACATGAGACCAAACATGTTCTGGCTGAAATGCTTGTGCCCAAGTAAGTAATGCAACCTTGTTAACTTCTTTTTGTTCAGGAACATTTCCATTTTCATCTCCATTTTTAAATTCCTCTTTTTTCTCATTATTACTATCATCCTCGCTTTTTTGAGGTTTCATTTCTCCATCCGTTTTTTCATCGGTATCTGGATCTTGGGAAGAATCTTCACTGCTATTTTGATTTGCAGAAGAAACATTTAATTGATTAAGTGCTTTAAAAATAAATATTAAGAAATATAACTCTTTTATAATGATTTTTTACAAATTTCCATGCTTTCAGATGATTGTTTAAAAGAATTTGTTGTCGAAGTATCTGCCCCCTGTTGATCTCTATTTTTTTCTTTTCTTTGCTGATCTGAATCAGAACGTCGTCCTCGACTTCTTCCAGTTTTCTTTTCATTTGCAGGTGTTGCAGTTACGCCCAATTGACCAAAATTGTTTAAACCGCAGGCAAAAAGACGTCCATCTTCTGCTCGAGCAATAGTCCAAAATCCATTGGCCCAAACGTTAACAAATCGAATGAATTGATGTTTTTCGAGTACACGAAGGATTAAAGAGGTGCCTGATTGATCGACCATGAACTTCGATCTAATATGTTCTGTACGCGTAGAACGGCCAAGTTGGCCCATAGATCCTTCACCAAAAGTAAGAAGTTCTCCATCCGAGGAAAGCATTGCCAAATGATTCTCTCCTGCAGCAATCTGAATTTCTTAATTTGAAGAAACGTTGAAAAAAAGTATTTACAAACCTTAACAATATGCCATTTTTGTCTGCTTTTGTGTTTAATGACCACAACTGGTTTCTTTTGGATATCCTTGAGCATTTCATGGACATTCACTTCACCTTGCGTGTCCTTAAATTCTTAGAATTAAAAATTTTTTCTAAATATACTCTAAGATTCCCCCAAGCGATAACTGAACCCTTCTCTGTTAAAGCAGCAGAAAAACTAGCACCAGCAGTGACTTGAACAATCTAGTTAAAATAATTTTTCATCAATTAAAGAAATAAAACCTTTCCCAGACGCTTAATTTCTGGTGAGAAGACAATTTCACTAAATCTATCAGTACTTCCTTCAGCTTCAAGACCATGAACTGGTACAGTGCCCTTCTCATTAATTCCACAACTAAAGACAGCACCCTCCGTGGTAAGCACAAGAGAGTGGACACCACCAGCAGCGACCTAAAAAGTTGATTAGAATAACCAGCGCTAAGGAACACTAAAAAGCAAAATGGTTGGATTTTATTTGGGTCTTCTCTTACATTGATAAAAATTTGGTCCTTATTTATTAGGTCAAAAACACCGGTTTTCGGCTTCAGTTAAACGCGTTTGAACCTCCAAATAAGGAATTCGGTAATCATGAAGAATCTGAGATCCACTTGGTTCAGTATCAGTTCTTCACATTCCAAACCACTGGGTCTGGAACAGTTCCTTACCCTGTTCCTCGAAATTTTTGGAAGTTATAGCCAATTTTAAAAATTTCTGAAAAACGATTATAACTTAAAATTTCGAGGAATAGGTTAACGAACGGTCCCGGACAATGTGGGCGTAGATCCCGAACATGAAGAACAGTTACGGAACCCAATCTTAAAACACATCGAAAAATCGATCTTAATTAAAATCAATGTAATCTAACCGGTAATTGTCCTAAAATGTAATTTGGACGGTAACACATACAAACCTGAACAAATTTAGTTCCATCATCAAAAGTATCAATTGCACGGGGCTTTCTTGTTACATTTCTTCCCGGATGACCTAACTGCTCCCCTTCTCCACAACTGAGAACACGTGTACCTACTTGCTTTGGTACAAATTGATCTATTGAAAGTTGTTCAAATACTTTTCGAGCTAAAATTAAAAAGAAAGCAATTCCAAAAATATAAAATGGGATAAAAAACCTTTTCTGGCAGAACTAGGTGCACTTTTCACTGGTGTAGCTGACGTTTTTCGTTTTTTGCCGTGTCTTGCTGGTGTGCCCATTTTTTGTTTCGATTTTGTCGGAATGCTCTAAAATAATAATTGAGCTCTAAATTTAAGTTGCGTTTTAGGTCCTTTTTCTTTCCCTTATTCCCATATTTTCTTCAGGACACGCCCAAAACAAGGGACACGCCCGAATAGTCGCGCGGCCATAAGGTCACCAAGCCATAACTTGCTTTAAGATTTCCGAATGCTTCAAATTTAGTATTAAATGATTCGTCTCATCGAGCTCAAGAGATTGGTACCAAAATTGATAGGGGCAAGAAATTTTTTAGCAAGTTATGGCTTGGCGACCTTATGGCCGCGCTATTATTCGGGTTGTACCCAAAACGGCTGTACTATAGTATAGGTCCACCGAGATCAGAACTCATAGTATATACCATTCGATTCGTCTCGCCGAGCTGAGTTCAAATATGCAAGAATTTTCTGCGGGAGACGAAAACTCGCAGAGATACAGGCCCACGAAAATCGAAAAAACAAAGGGGGGACCAAGCTGATTTTTGGGGTCAAAAATTCGAATAGGCGAATTATACCTCATTCGAAAGAGCTCGTCGAGCTGAGTCGAATGACACCAAAATCAACGAAATCCGACTTGAATAGACAAAGTTAAGATCTTTTCTTTTAGCTCCTTACCTATGGCATCTGTGGAGATTTTTGCTGCTACGGAGGCCCCAAATACGTCCAGAGCAAGAGATTTAGGAATAGGTTTATGTTACTAGCCCAGACCCAGCGCCCGTAGACTCCCCGCGAGGCGCGTGCCGCAAAACCCCGCGCGAAGCGCGGGGTTTTGCACAAGCGCCTCGCCGACGCTCCATAGGTTTAGGTTTTTTTGTGTCATAACTTTGTCTAATCTTGTCCAATCACGGTGATTTTGGTGTCATTCGACTCAGCTCGACGAGCTCTTTCGAATGAGGTATAATTTGCATATTCGAATTTTTTACTCCAAAATCGAGCTTACTCCCCCCTATGGTTTTTCGATTTTCAATCGCCTGTATCTCTGCAAGTTTTCGCGTCCCGCAGAAAATTCTTGCATATTTGAACTCAGCTCGGTGAGACGAATCGAATGGTATATACTATGAGTTCTGATCTCGGTGGACCTATACTATAGCGACCCCCCCAAAACAACGCACGGCCATAAGAACGCAAAGCCATAACTTGCTTCAAGATTTCCGAATTTTAACAAATTTAGTATTAAACGCTGCCTATCATCGAGACAAAGAGATCGGTACCAAAATTGATAATAGCCAAAAATTTTCCAGCAAGTTATGGCTTTGTGTTGTTATGGTTGCGCGTTGTTTTGGGCTGTACCGATTTTCTTCGCGGGTAGGGGATCATTGTGTACCGGCCGTTTGTGTACCTGGCCATATTTTGGGCCATAACTTTTTCAATTCTTAATTGATTTAAATAAATAATATATCAATTGAAAGCCCTGGATGTGAGGATTATTTTTGCCAACAGGATTGATTTGATCAGATAATCATACAAAAAGTTACAGACAGATAAAGATCAAAATCACGATTGAGCGCATTTATCGAGATATAACTTTTTATAACATGATCTGATCAAATCAATCATGTTGGCGAAAATAATCCTCACATCCAGGGCTTTCGATTGATATAATAATAATTGAAGTCGGTTAAGAATCAAAAAAGTTATGGCCCAAAATATGGCCAGGTACACAAACGGCCGGTACACAAGTGGGACGTTCCGTTTCTTCGCACACCAGAAAAAGGACGATTCAGATCCGCCGATTCAGTGTTTCAGTGTTGGGACGATTCAGAGTATGCCGTTTCAGAGTAGCCTGTTCAGATTACGGCAAAAAGGGGACATTGGGGACCAACATAAATTTTTGGACCAAGAACATCAATTTTTCTTGCGATTTTTCTAGTTTTTCTTACTACGATCTAAAGAACATTCTTAAAGGTGGCCGAGTCTTCACTATAGATTTTTCTTAGGTTTTTTAAACATTAGAGTAAGGTTTTGGTCTCAACTTTTTTCTTCAGGGAACAAAATTTTAATTAAAAAACGAATCAAATTAACAAAATTTATCAAAAAATAATTAAAAATCATTGTTCTCATCTCACTTATTAAATTTGTGGCCCTAAAGAGGGGCATTTGGTTTAAATGTTGGTGAAATTCTATCACACATTTTGTTCCTTCCAAATATGCGTCATGCAGAATACTTCAGCAGCTCAACAGCTCGTTGTAACCATAGAAAAATGAATTTAAAAAATTTAAAAAATTCTAGACTTTAAGGAAACTAAAAATTTCAAAAATCAGAAAAACTAGAGATAGCCCTTGATTTTTCCTTGACTCAAGATCAAGAACCTGGTCAAGGCCCTCCCTTTAAAGTCAAGGTTTTTTTTTTACATATATTTCCGATCTCTAAAAAAACTAAAAAATCGCACAATATGGAGTAGAAAGCTCGTCATTTGGAATTTCCTTATAAAATTTAATAAATTTAAAAAAAGTTTAAAAATTTTAAATTTTTATTAAAAATTATTTTTTTATTTAATAATTGTTGGTGTTTGTGCTGATTGTTGTACTTAGGCGTGTCCCGCGATGATTTTGGTCCATTCAACTCATCATGCTCGAGCACGTCGTTGTAACCCTAGAAAATCGTCGTTGTAACCCTCTTTCAATTTGATCACTTGATTTTTCGTTTCTCAGATTTCTGTGTTTTGAGACGGAAAGAAAGGGTGTTCAAGATCATCACCCTTAATTACACTAAATGACATTTTTAGCGTTAATTTAGAGATGGTGGCTGAAATTAAAATTGTTTTTATTAACAAAAAATAAATCCGCAAGATTTCTACGCAAAGTCCAACAATAAACTATCGATTTTTGCGTGCGCCAGCCTGCTTTTTCCGTGTGCTTTGTTAATTTTCTCGCATTGATTTAAACATCAAACTGAAAAGTATGTAGTTCTAAATATGTGCATATATTGTTTTTTTCTAGTTTTTAGGGAAAAAAAAATTTTTTTTCTAAATATATGTATGTTAGAGCATATGTATGATCAACAATAAAATTTTCAAAGGTTGAATATATGTAAGGTATTGCTCGACAGGGGACGGAATTCCGACGGAAATAATTTTCTTATAACTTTACTTTCATGATTAGTATTCGCGGCAATTTAATTACTGCATAAAATTTCAAACTTTTACAAATTAATTTCTTTAAATTTTTCTTTTTGTAATTAAAAAATAATAAAAAAAACCCATTAAAAACATACATTTTTGTGTGTCCTTTCTTCTTCTCTTCCTTTTCAATTTAGAACAAGCACATTGAATGCTGAGTCACCATTTTTTCTTTTTCAATCACTTTTTTTTATTTTAAAGTGATTTTGTCATCAACTAGTATAAGGGATAGATTTATCATTTAGAGAGAAAGAAATTAATTTTAAAATTAATTTTAAAATTAATTTTTAAATTTGCAATAATTTTATTTAAAAAATTTAAATATTTTTTTATTACTGAAAAAATAAAACATTTGTTTTTCAGTTTAAAAATTTTTTTTGTTTGACAACTTTAACATGATCATCATCTCCTTTATTATAAATAAAATGTAAATTAAAAACAATTAATTAATTAACAACAATTTTTTAAATAAAAAAATGAATTATTTATTTCAAAAAGGAGAAGATATTAAATTTAGAGAAATAGCACAACCTCCCATTGAGCCAATTTTAGTGAATGATAAACTTGTTGGCTCTTCTAGGAATGAACAAATAATTAATAAAAATATTGGTTTGAATATTTTTTTTAAAATTGTTCAAATAATCTTTAAGTTCCATTCTCTTCTTCAAATTCTTCTTCCTCTCCTTCCACCCTTTCTGGTTCATTCTCTTTTGGTAATTTGGCTTATTTGCCATCTGTTTCAACATCTACAGATTTTTATGTGCCATCAATTGCAAGTTCTTGCTCAATCGGCGCTTTAGACCAAATTAGATCAACAGAAATAACTAAACTTTTTGATTACCTCTTTCTTGGATCTCAAAAGGACGCTTTGGACAATGAACTTTTGTTGAGACACGGAATAACTAGAGTAATAATATTTTATTTTTATATGAAGCCTTTATGGCAATAAATAATTTATTTTAATTTTTCTGTGAGAAGAAAAGGGAATTCTAAAACTTTTATCACTTACAAAAAATTTTACTTGTTTATAGAACAGATAATTTCTAAAGTATTTTTTATTGTTTTGCTAAAATTTATAAAAAAATTTGGCTTCATCGAAGTATTTAACTTAAAATTCTTTTATTGGTACTACTTCGGTTAATTCTTCGGGTTAGACCCCCCATTTTTTCCTGTTTCCCTTTGCGACCTGTTCTCTTTTTATGGCAAATTATATATCATTCAATTCGGCTCTTCGGACCGAGTCGAATGCCATTAAAATCAATGAAATCTGACTTAATGGACAAGGTTATAATCACTTGATTTAGTGCCTTGCAGCGAGCTCAAAATAGTAAGGAATGCCAAAAAAAGGGTCTAAACCGAAGAATTACCCAACTCCGTTAACCCTACGTGTTTTTGCGGACATTTTCTTCCTTCCCCAAAATGTACTTCTAAAAATTACTTTTTCTAAACAAAAGGTTATCAATCTCAGTGAGAATTGTCCTCGTCCAACTTCACTTCCAGATGATCTCCAACATTTTCTTCGTATCCCGGTTAACGATACTTATTCAGCAAAACTTCTTCCACATTTCGATTCTGCCTACCAATTTATTGGTTATTTTAGTCTAATTTTTTTAGAAAAAATTTTAATTTTTAGAAACTGCAAAACAAGAAGGGGAAAAAGTATTAATTCATTGTTTGGCAGGCATTTCTAGATCGCCAACAGTTGCCATTGCTTACGTTATGCGATCTAGGAAGATGACAAATGATGAGGCTTATAATTTTGTTAAGGTTATTTTCAAAATTGAAATGATTATTTTTGGGGTTATCTTTGTTTGTTCAATTTATTTAAAAATTTACAAACCCCCACAACCATTATTTGATTTTCATTTTTTTACAATTTATTATGCCCA